TTGTACATCTTCAGAGCCACCCGAACGAGCTACAAGAGAGCAGATAGCGACAATGTCAGGCGTATAGACATTGTCAGATAGTCCGTCAGTCTGCACCCGGAACCCTCGGCACGTTATCCAGTGAGAATTAGAAACGACGCACGAATGCAATGATGATATCCCCATCTCGAAGTTTGGTCTCGTACTGAGCAGCCTGATTTGGCTGATCAGCAAAGTGATCGGACGGTACCATGTTTGGCGGAAATTTAGTAAGTTGGCTATTCATAAAAGTATCCAAATCAGAAACTTTGTCAATGAAACGCATCTTACTATGGGCAATTAAAGAAATGGGTTTGCGGTGGCTGTCGGTATATTGCCGCAGACGATCGGATAATTAGAAATCCGCTGTCACCAAGACTATGAGAAGCCTGCCTCAGTTGAATTCCTCTGGTAGTAGTAAAGTTCGCCTACTTTGCAGCTCGCAATACACCTGATGATGCGTTAAGACTGATTAAACAAGCAGTACTTGATCCTTAGTAAACGTTCAGATGGATATGCGTGACAGCGCTGAGGAACAGACCTGCATTGACAAGCCGCTCCCGTAGTACACCATGGTAGGCGCACTCAAGACATTTATACGGTGTCAACTCCCATCCTTCAACTCTTTCGCGCTCCTCGTACTCTTGAGTTGGATCAATTTCTGGTTCACCAGCCCATCCATGTCGTGAATAACGATGTGCATGATACATAAGTGTTTGCGCAAAAAGCGACGGGTCAACGCCTGAGTCAACCCATCCACCCACACCGTCAGCAACACCGAATGACACTCCCTAACAGTAAAGACACCATATTAATATACAGGAAATATATGGGAGGACATGAACATACCTACCGAACTATTTTGCATCTGTCACACAAGAAAATATCCACGCAACAACACATAGATTTTTTGAGTGGAGCACGTGGCTGCTAGACCGTCCGGGACGCACCTCTGTGACAAAGAAAAAGTCCTCTCCTGCATCCCCACTCGTCGCATTTTTCCATTTTCCAAGCATTTCATCTCGCCAGCGTCCTACCGCAGTGTTTGGTGAGAAAGGTACATGAATGCGCGATTTTTCTGGGGGCTTCGCTGCCCAGCTAGCGCCAAAATGAAACTGGTAGGGTCGGGATAGCCGGGAGGCGGCAAGGCTTGTGCTGGAATATAGGCGTGTTATTGGTCGGTTAGCACGCTGCGACACAGACGCTGATAGACAGGTGCTCTTATATGTGAGTAGGCGAGACACTGGCGATGACCATAGGCCAAGGGTCATCATGAAAAGTAACAACAAATCGGTGAGTAGCAGTCTGGACTTTGATTTTGAAAACACATGACCTCCAACGCGCTGACACATCCAATGACGCGTCATCAATCAAGCACTGGTTCATTTATTACATACTAATCCATATATAAAAGCTATTTTATACAGTTCACAACATAGTCAGCTGTGTAATGATTACTGTCCACAAGCCCATTGGATAAACCTCATAGACATCTTTCGATGTAGCTCTCAATCATACCAGCGGGTGTCAAGGAATATTCTTTCAATTCCACCTGGCCATTCACGACAAAGGTATTGGGCTGCAGCATCATTTTGCGAGGCTGCAAAATGGTAAGATCATATGGTTTCGTTTCATGGTGAACACGCACTTGTTTCTTCTTGAGAACAACATCCCGAATCTCGCCATCCCATCCTGGAAGAGGAGTGGTGAGCTTGGTATAGAAGTCCCGTGCTCCAGCACCATCAGCTGTGCTCTTCCGGACTTGAAGATCGATAAGGAGTTTTCCTGAAACAGCTTGTCCATGGGCCAAACATTTCTGGCGGTCAAGCTGATCGAAAGGTATGAGGTAGGATCAACTGACGGTGCGTGGAAAGAAACTGACGCGAATATACAGGTTCTCTAGCGAATTATCTGCGCCGCGAACCTCTTCGAGAGTCACTAGACCTTCCTTAATCATGTGCTGGGTGATGCCAAGACTAATTGCCGAGACAGTCAGATGGCTAGCACATCTAATGTGGAAGCTGCGGAGCTCACCGGGCTTGCATGTGTGCCTGGCCGTGTTTCTGCGTGGCAGGGTCATAGAACTCAAGAGCCCGTAGACCTGCACGTGCCATTAGCAAGAAGGTGATATAAACGATATCATCGCAAGTCTTCTTATCGTTATACTGAGATCAGAGCTGTCAGTAAGTAGTACACGCAGTGTGAGGAGAAGACTCACGCCAAAAATATTAAGGATAGTTGGATTGCTTGCGACTGAAAGCGACACGGCTTTGGTGATCGTATAACTTCACAAGACAACTCTCCACAACTCACGGTAAAGGGCAACAGTTTCCGCGCGACATTCTTCCATCGAGGAAGAAACTTCGCCAAGAACCGAACCGGGTGTTTGACCAGGTTTATACCACGATGTGCTATATCGCGTTCATTTCAGGCGCGTGTTTTAAACAGTATGGACATACATCTTCTTCCCAGTCAGTGGGTTGATGATCTGGAGTATGCAACTTGAGATTACGGCCGCGATCAGGGTAAACAATACAAACCTTCTCTGGGTCAAAGTTTTTCGAGCCATCAGCAGCTTCCTGGAAAAGCTTCCCAGATCCATGGCCCAACAGCTCGTGGTTTGCAACCTGAAGCTCAAAGGCGCGCGAATCCCATTCATTATACAGGTCGAGGTCATCAGGATGGATAAAAGTAACTTCTTCGTCTGCGTAAAACAAGAATAAGCAGCGCAATAGGTTGTGGCCGATGGCAAAATTTACCAGGCGCCTTGGCTGAAAGGATGTTCTAAGAGAAAGGTGAGTATAGTACACATTACCCCAACAGATATACTGACGGCGAGGGAGACATTCTTGAAGCCAGTCGATTCTCGGATATCATAATAGTTCTTAACAATGCATGTCGGTGAGATGAATTTACCCCAAGCCGAAAATACTCACGGGAATCTTGGTGGGGTCATCCGTCAATCAGTTGCTCTCGAAACTATTCCATACACTCACATTAATACCGGCAGGGATACCTATGTCACCTCTGAGCCAAAATATTTCATAATTGGGGTGCACTTGCCTCCTGTAGCGAAGTTCACAATCTCCAATGCAGTGAAATCCGGTTTTCTAAATACGTCAACCTCGAAGTCCTTACCCCATGGCAGGACCTTGATTAACTCTGGTGCACCATTGACGAGTATGTCATACTTGGCGCTAAGTTCTTTGTCTACGATGGCAGTAAAACCTGTTAGAGACGGTCAGCATTGCAAACATCAGTAGATGCAAGTGGCTTACCTTCCCACTCGGCACGACCGCCGTATGGGTCAACGTAAGTTTCAATAAAGCCTATGTAGCTTTCGACGACAGGACCAATGTCCTTTACCCAATGTGCAGAGGCACCCTTATGCTCCTCGATCGACCCAGTCTTAAAGCTAATTGAATTGTACACCAAAGGTAATACAGGGTTGCAAAACTTGAGACGTACGAATTGATGTAGCCCTCGATCATCTTTGTCTGGGTGTCATTGGCCGTGTACTTTTTGGCCTGAAAAATAAGGTGAGACACTTAAGCATGTAGATGAACATAAAGTCGACCGAACCTCATGCAAAGCCGCAACGGCCTTTGCTAATGCCGCTGAGAAGTCGCCATATTCGACTGTCAATCTTATAGATGTTGGCTCTGCGTTTATCTGATGAGTGATCGATTCAGTCTTGTTGACAGAGGCAACGAGGAGGGTAAAGTCATTAGGCCCATTCTTGCGGATACTATAATGAAATCAGATGTGCTTCGTATACATAGGAGGTTTGAGTATCATGTTTACCGTGTGTTCAGCACATCGACTCCGATTTTCTCAGCGGCAGCTTGAACGGCCGCGACATCTTCGTCCATAATCGTTTGACCGAGGTAATAGTTGGAGATATGACCATCCCTTGGTTTGCCGATGGAGAGAGAATTTTCAGGTGAGAGTGCATAAATATGGTCTTTCAACTTAATAGATTGTTCTATTAGCTTCGGATATCGATATACATTTAGCTACTCACCGCGTTCCACAAAGGGATCGCATTGGCTGCATTGGCTGATTTCTCGACCACAGCAGCAAACTTTGCTTCAGGAACACGAGGCACGATCTTCGTGAAACCGAAACTCTTGTAGTTTACCAAGTTGTGCAAAACCTTGAATCAAAGGGGTCAATTCACGAGGTACGCAACTTGGACGAACAGTACTTGCCTGGGATGAATATTGCAGTACCTGCTCAAAATCTTCATGAGAAATACCCGATCTTCGACCGAGGGCGTCCAAATCAGCCAACTTCCCATTGGAACTGAAGGTGAGTATGAGGAGATCGTAGAGCCTTAGCGCTTGTGGAGTCCACTGTTCTTGAATGATACGAGCGCCTGCCCATGAAGCTTGCCCGACGTAATGAGCATAGAGTTTCTCCTTTTGTCTGCATAATGATCAACGACCGACCTCTGGCAACCTGAAATGTACATACGTGAGCTGTGAGAATGACTTTGCAACCTCGACACGGCAGATCGGAGGAGCTTTATCGGCCAAGAAGCGGTCTGCAGCTGCGGAAACCATAGTTCGATGAAGTTGTGGTGAACTGTAGAGGGAGACTGTTGACTGATAAGATCTCGAGTTCAACACTCGATTAATAAGCTTGGTCCGAAGCATTCACTGGGCAAGCTCTCCTACTATTAGAGCAATGGATTAAAAAAATCAAAAGCGCGTGACTAAATTACTAGACACGTCGCGTGTAATTGCAACCGACTATGATTACGTAAACAAATTAGCAAGCAAGAAACGAGTCGGCCGATTGATCGCAACTTTCGGCACAGCCTAGCTCAGGCTGGTGATACTATCATACGACCCACTCATCAGCGTTTCAGCAGCCATCGAGGGTACTGTGGAAACCCGCCGCGGTTACAGCTGAAACTGACGAGTTGACCCGGGCCCAACTGAATTGTGTTTACCAACAGAGGCAAGGCAACAGATGCGGACAAGGCTGAGTTTCCTAAGGAAACTCTCAGCCTTGTCCGCATCTGTTGCCAACACGATTCGTATCACCGGCCGGGCACTGGCAGGATATAAGCTAAGTTCTAGAATAGCCACTAGCGCCAGGATTCACTTTCCGTTCTACACGGTATGGCCGACGTGACTAGTATGCCAAACACTACGACTGTCTTGATCGTTGGCGCAGGACCCTCTGGTCTTGTTGCAGCGCTTTCTCTCCTCCATCGTGGCTTTAAGGATTTTGTCATTGTTGATGCAGTCAGACAAGGCCAGAATACCTCACGCTCTATAGTCGTTCATGCCGCAACATTAGAGGTATGTCATGTATTACAACTTTCGGCCATGATAAATACGTGTCTTGTTTAGGCACTGGACACCATAGATTGCGGGGAAGAAATTGTAGCAAAGGGAATCAAAATAAGCAGCATCAATATTGGCAACCGCTCGTCAAAGCTCGTTTCTATCAACCTCTCTTATCTCGACAAGTACACCCATCACCCATATGCCATCATCATCCCACAGAATCTTACCGAGCATATTCTCGGCAAGAAACTCAAAGGTTATGGTGTGACAGTTCACCGGCCTTGCAAAGTCACCTCCTTGAAGATGAACGAGAATGATGCCGATCTCACGGATGTCATGTTCGAAGATGGAAAGACCATCACTGCAAAGTATGTCATCGGCGCAGATGGCGCTCGTTCTATTGTAAGTCTGATCTGGTGTCACTTTTACTGGTTCTCACTTCTTTTTCGTCGACAGACTCGTCAGATGGCTGGTATCGAGTTTACAGACCCTAAGACTGGCGAGGAGGGTGATAGGGTTAACAATCTGGCTCAAATGATTCTTGCAGATGTTATCTACGAAGGCAGAGACAACAGTGACTTGGGGTTTTCAATTACGATGTCACCTGAGAGCTTCTTCCTTTCCATCCCTTTGCCGAAGTCGTTCAATGACTTACTAGCTGAGAACGGGAAGGAAATTGGAGTCCCAATATACCGAATTGGCGCAGGTGTCCCTCTGGTGGATGGAGAGATTCCACATTCACCAAGCAAGGAGTACCTACAGAACCTCGTTGATCGATTCGCGCCCACAATCCTCTCATCAGATGCTTCAGTTAATCCCAACTCCACACCGGTACGCATCAAGGAAGTTATATGGGTAACTCGGTTCCGCACGCATTCCGCCATCGCCGACAAGGTGTTCACTCGAATTGGTGGAAACGAGGTCCAGGGTGCTACAGTGGCAGCTGACAACTCCACCACGAAACACGGCGGTATCATCTTTCTCATCGGAGATGCGGCGCACATCCACTCTCCCGTTGGCGGACAGGGCATGAACCTTGGTATCCGTGATGCAGTGTTCCTTGGGGATGTTCTCATAAAACATATAAATGCATCTGCTTCGCAGCCCTCCAGCGTCGATGCTGATTATATTCTGCGTGAATTTGCAGGGGAGAGGTATAAACGCGCCCTAGAGGTGATTGCGTTTACTAAAAACTTGCTTTCATTTTTGGGAATGCAAGATAAGAATATCTCATGGTTGTTCCCAATCTCAGCTACTGCTGTGCGGGACTGGGCGCTGTGGCTTGGTGGAAATCTTGGCTTCATCCAGACAAGGATGGCGTGGGCGGTGAGTGGACTGGGAAGAAGATAATAAGCATGTCTTGTGAAAGCAATTCGATCGCGCCCAAACTTCTTACCTTCACCTCTCCATTTTTTGATGTTGATTCCATTGCTCGGACTTCATACCTTCACTTCTCCATTGTTTGATATTGCGCACACGTTCACCTATTTCACGGTACTTGTACCTCGATATTTCATTTTTCGAGTCAGTGACGAATACAACGAAGCGTAGAAAATAGCATTGATGTAGATGTAGTGCAGCCGACCACTCACCACCAGCATGGCAGTTGTTACCACCGTGCACAATCATCAAATTTAGTGCATAGAGTATCTCAAGCCAAAGCCATGGCGCTGATTTAGAACTTCCGCTTATATAATAAGTGTTACGCACACGGTTTCTTTGGAGGCGTTCACTAACTTCACTTCCAGTCTTGCTTTCCTTCCCATCTCCGTTTCCAAACAATGGCGACTCCACCTGCCCGCAAGGCCGTATTAAATCTCTACGCCTCTACCTTGCGGACGGCTAAATCATTCAGTTCATATAACTTTCGCTCCTACTTCGTCCGGAGGACGGAGGATACATTCCGTGGGATGCAAGTATGTGACTCAATAATTCTACCAAGGATAATATCTTGATCAGTAATTGACTTAGGCAGAACAAGATCCTATAAAGCTTTCACACGCATACGACGAGGCTGTAAAGGAGCTTTCGGTATTAAGACGGTGTGCAGTCATGAATCAGCTGTATGGCGGTGGGCGCCTGGCAGTTGAAGAACAGAGTGAAGTGCGTACCCAAGGAGATACGTGAGCTAGGAAACTACCGGATACTAGGTGTGGATGATGAAAGCATAATAGAGATCATGTTCGCCGCATTGCATGGACAACAGCAGGAAGACAGTATGTCACTGCTGAGAAAACTGACCTATGAATCATGATTAACTCTCAGCGGCATGATATTTTCTTGCTTTAATGAGGATTTGCCAACGACTGTATTATTATGCATTTGTAGAAGAGAAATATGTAGCCAAATCGTTGTTACACAATGGTTGTTGGTTGATTCGCAAAGTTCAGGAAGCCGAGGATCCACCCCATGGCCATTTAAACCACCACCAACTTGCGCCAGACCGTGACGGAGCACTCTGAGGTATTTGGTCTTGAACGGACGGCAGCGCCTTCGAGGAGGAGTCGCCTTTGGCAATATTCGTATTCAAGTCCCTCCCTGACACAACACCTTCGGTCTCTTTCCACTGCCTCTCCGCAGCTTTCAGCCGGTCCTCAAATTCCTTCCGATCCCTGCCAGCACGAGCTTCCCTATGCGTTTGTATCTCGTCGAGTTGTCTATTTTCGCCAGGAGTTGAACCCATTACGTAGGTTCCTGCACAGACAGCGGCAATAGTTGCACCTTGAGCAATGACACGAACACGTAACCAATTATTCAGAGATTGGGAGTCGCCTCGTCTCATTTTGACGGTAGCCATGATCAGTGCACCACATGTCACAAGGGTACCTAGTACCGCGCGAGTCGTCAGATTCGGAGGACAAAGTGATTGGGAAATGTCGTAGCATTATGCGCACCAATAGGGACTAATGGTTGCTCCCTGAATTTTCTCCATGCTTTTTCCTGATAAGACTCTCCCGTGTGAAGGCTTGGGGTAGTCGGAACAGCAGCAGGAGAAGTGGACATCCTGGATGGTTCGTGACACAAATTAAAAAACGGTATAACTGAAAGTACCTGAAACAGTAAGCTCGGGAGGGTGCAACGCAGCTGATACAACCCCACGAAATTAACGTTGCAAGTTGGTTGCAGATGTTGTGTTCAAAGCGAATTCGAGGAACGGCTCGGACTCGGAGAATTCGAGTGTTATGTGGCAAAGATATCCTTTTTGGGATATCTCGTGACCGTGACTAGTAGCAAACTCTCTGTGCTCCGAGTTGTAGTCGTAGTACTCCTTCTTTTACTCCCGCCCACCACGTGCACCCTCAGCAGCAATGCGTCTCGCAATCAATTTGAACACTGCGGAATAAAGTCGGTCTTCAGAATCTACAAATCAAGCTTACAATTCATAATACCAGCATCATCTTTGCTCGACGCATCACTTCCGAACACCGAGAGTCGCTCACGATCCTGAGTGACCCTCCCGCCCTCGAGGACTCACGCGCATGGCTCATCTTGACCTCTTAGCAGGATCGGAGCGTTATTTCCGACCGAAACCCCTTCAGGCTTTGCCCAAAAATATTTACGCACTTTCTTTCCTCGTAATTCAGATCTTATTTGTCTTACAATCAATCTAATATTCCTTCTCTGACCAGAATGGATAGTAGAAGGTGGTTATGCAGGCTGCGGGTATGCTGTCTCCGTTTATTCTGCATTTTGATAATCGTGAGCCCATTGGCTAGCTATCAAAAAATGCGTCAACTCGTGATGATATAATGACAGCAAGGCCCGTGGGCCGTTGGACTGATATCATGATATGTTATCTTGCCATTGAAGGATGGTCACCGATATATTAACTCCGAGTCGTACAATTGACAGCGTGGCTTGTTCCTCATGGCGATGACTCTGATGGGCCACATCCACAGACGAGTTGACCTTCCAAAGAGGGAACAACCCGCGAAACTTTGTCACCGTGAGTCTAAAAAGGGAGAAAATCAAAATAATGCTCGCGAGTACTAATATGTAACTGTAAACAAGGAACCCGTAGACTTGCTGTAATGCCAAAACAGGTTCGCGGTCTCCTCCGAGTAGGCCTGAGATGCTGAAACCTTCAAGCTTTAGTTAGCGGATTTGACTCTAAATATATGCTCGCAGTTGTCAATAAAAATGACGTGTCATTTGTGTCCTACTCTTCTAGAAAAAGTTCACTGGTACCTATCATATGCTACTGCCCTACTTTTAGGACCATGGAATGGGTGTTGCCAGGGGGTTATCAAGCGCTGCTAGTGATCATGTAATCTCATAGAGCAGCCGAGGCTATCATGATGTAGCTATGCGTCGTTAATTAATGAAATAGTAAGGCCTTAAACGGAAGAAATGGTAAGAAAAGTTCTCTTTCTATCACTAGAATCTGGAGAAGCGGCTATAATATTAATGATGAGCGTTGCCAAAACGTGCGTTATACCAGTCACGATCCATACAGGCAGGACTCACTGAATGTGTATGCACGAAGTTGCAGGTGGCCTCATCAATACACGACCATTTAAGAGCGTACATGACTGACTGGATTCTGGCTTTCTAGGTCAGAGAAGCCAATTCTAGCAATGGTACAGATCTACAGATTATTGTCAGGCACTCCATAAGGCCAAGTTAGCATGGACTGAGATCTCACCATTGAGCGGGCGCCATCTGCACCGATGATATATCTAGCTCTGATAACTTGACCTTCCTCACAGGAGACATCGGCAATGCGAGGATTCTTCTCATCTACATTCACCTGCGGGCGGTCAGGGTATGAATCTAGCTATCAGGGACGCGATCGTCCTTGCAGAGGCCATCACAAAGCATATCTAGGCCTCTGCAGAAGACCCCGATGTGGATGATACCATTTTGCAGGAAATTGCGAAAGCACATCACGCGGATACCACTAGCTTCACCGAGAAGCTTCTTGAGACTAGCAAGTCTTAGGTACGATCCGTATGCTCGGTGGATGCCGCTCAGTTGGGCCTCCATCCGCGACCTGATGCTGCGGTTATTAGGCCGATTTGATTTCGTGCAATTGAAAGTTGCATGGGAAATGAGTGGGCTTGGATGACGCTGATCGCCGCGACGTATTTGAGAGTTCCGTAGACGAATACCTACCAGTCATCCCCATCTCTGTTTATACAAACCAGTATAGACATTAAGGCCCAGAGTAAGGAATTGGTGGCGACTTGCACCGCTAATGATCAACCCGGCAGGAATACAGGCCATGTCATCAGCTTAGTGATGAATGTCGATGAACGTTGTTGATTTTCAAACTAGGACATGCGTCCACCTACATGATCCAAGTGAGAGCCTGTGAGAGCGCGGCTTCATTCACATTCTTTGGGATGTGGAAGCATTACAGCTACCTTCATATTGATAGAAGATTCCTAGATCTTGGTCAGGCGAAATACCCCTGAATGGCGAGGCCTCGCTCTGCCTGGACGAGCCACAGCACCTGCACACTCCTGCCTTGGCTGTCAAACAGTAAGTCACTAGGCGTTGAAATATCTTGGTTGTCGTAAACCGGTAAGGTATTACGGTACAAGCATTTACGTAGCACCTCGACATCGTGTGGATCATGCAGTGAGCAGCCGTGGGAAGCGAGCAAACAACAATACTATGCCCGTGTCTGCTCGTATGTCACGCCTGGGTGGTGCAAAGTGAGTACTTGTTGTGATTACGATCTCAATGTATCTGCAACAGTCGCGAGCCTCGGTGCTGAGCGAACCGAATCCCTGAGGGTATTCCACCCGAATAATACGTAAAAGAAGGGACCCTGTTGTTTGTCCAGCACAAAGAAATCAGTAAATGGAAGCGGGAAAACAAAGAATGTGAAATCTGGTTTACCGATACCGATATGAAAGCAACCATGGAGTAATCCGACCGTAAGAGTGCGATGTAGAGGAGCAACCCGCGAGTGTCACATCGGGTAAGTCCCGCGACAATGTCAAACATACAAGTGCAGTGCCTTTTGCCAACGCGCACAGCTGCATGATGATGTCGTGAACATGTGATGCAATAGGTGTCAAGATGGCGGCGGCATTGCTGTATGGATATGTTGCGCTTTATTAGAAGAAAAGACTATATCATCCTTGGTCTATAAAGGGCTGTCTGCGTTCATTAAGGGCGGCCGTGTAATCTGGGGTATGTTGGACTTGTCAGCCTATCAGGAAAAGCCCGTCCAGGACCATCATGACGATGCACAGATGTACGATTGTTGTACTGTTTGTAGCCGCACTTTCGGATCCATCGTTTTCGAATCAAACCAGATCAGAGTGACTTAGTCGTCGACCCACAAGTCGAGGACAGTGGCTGCAGGGAGGACATCGATTGTGGGGAAATTAAATCGAAGAGTCGGGGCGCACCTCGATGGCGATTACGCGTCAAGAAAGCAGAACCCACTTAGGTAAGATGAACTGGTTCGACCGCCCACCGCCTCCACCGCCTCCACCACCCCAATAATAAGAACGTCATTTGACTAGATATCATGCGGTATGCCCGGCATGACACATCTTTTAATTGGTTCTGAATGAGAGTAGTACAATGCAGATAAGATGAGCGAACAATCCGACATATCAGCCGTAGATGGCAAATAACGAATTCAATCTAGGGCTGTTTTCTTCTCCGTTTGCTTCCGTGCTGCTTCGCGCATACGAACATAGTTGTTCCAAAGTATTTTCCATTCTGCTTCTGGGGTGCCTTCCCCAGGCTCACCGATGCCGCCGGAACGGTCTGCTGCAACACCTGCCCACCCCAGAGCACGTTCATAACACTCAAGGGCGCGTTCCGCACCATCTTTCTCGCCTTCCTTCAGTATACCCATGAGATTCCAGGCTTCAGCAGCCGTCCGGCGGGCATCGCGGAGGAGGCTTTTAGCTGGCTTTCGCATTGCATTTGATTTCGCAAATACGGGAACTAAAGATGCTTCTGAGGCAGGTGGATGGGGAATTGCCGAGCCTGGTGCATCAGGATGGGTGAATGGGAGACCTGCAAGGGCGAGAGCGACTCGCTCGGATGATTCTGCAGCGCGCCCCAACCATTGTATTGACTGTTCAGGTGCTGTACGAAGGGCGTAGAGAACTTCTGCGAGGTGAATGGAAAGCAGAGACGATCGGTGGAGTAGAAATAAAGAATGCAATGCCTGTGGTGGAGATGCTGTTGAAATTCTGGAAGGAGACGGAATCGAGCGTAGGAGATCGAGTCCGGACTCCTGTACATGCTGCGCTTCCTTAAGGTGGCCAGAGGTAGAATAGTATGCGGAAAGTGATACCAACGTGGTGGCAAGCGTGCGTTGTGCACACGGAGATGAAGGGATGGTCTGTGCTAATTCAGGAGCCGAAAGATTTGTTTGCTGAGTGCCCTGGGTGAGGCTGATGGTCCGCGCCCACCATGCGAGCGCGTCCTCGAAGTCCCCGAGACGATAGTCAAGGTCCCCAAGTTTTAATGCAACTCGTGCAGCATCCGCGCCCTTGGCGGGCAGTCCAGCCCACACTCGCTCATACTGGGAACGAACCTGTAAAAGTGCATCTCTCGTCCCCATCCGCTCGAGAATAGAAGCGTGGCGGGTGAGTAGCTCGCCCATAGTTTGCGGGCGTAACATTCCGGATGACATTTTGCTTTCAGCGATGCTGATGGCAAGAGCCATAAATTTTTGGGCGACCTCCAGGCGGGCTTCTACAACGCTGAGACCACCTGTACCCCGGGAGCCTCGTCCCGAAACCGTGTTCGAGTGGCTGATGATCGCTCCCGAGCCCGTTCCCCAGTTCTCGGCGATCCATGCACTACGAACAGCATGCCTGCCTTTGAACCCAAGTGCGGGGTCCGTGCCACCTTTGTCCCCGCCTGACCACTTCTCAGCTTCGTAATTCCACTCCCATCTGCGTGTTTCGCTATCTTGATCGCATGCGAGTTCGACATTCTCTACCCACATATGTAAACCCTCGAATACTGTCCATCCGGTGATCCCAACTGCAAAGACACCTATAAGAGAGAATTTTGCCAGGCGTTTGAAAAAGTCCAAAGTAAATAATGTCGATTGGGTGAAGGGGTCCTCAATGGGCATGAATTGATCCGCGGGTGCATCTTTTTGCCATGTCGTGGGCTGATTCTGTGATTTGAGCCGACGATGTCTGGGCACTAGGGGTGCATTGATACGCAACGGGCGAGTACGCAAGTTTGTAAGTGCTCTGAGCATTGGAGCTGCTTGTAGCTCAAGCGCTCAAGCTTTAAGTTTGAAAATTTGATGAGTCGAACAACAGAAGTTTCGTAAGAGCTTCGTGTTCGATGAATATCTTGATAAGAGGTCGACCACTCGGCGTTCAGTGTTATTCTTTTTTTTTTTTGGAAAGCTGAAAGCTAAGACATTCAGAATCCAAGGTGTACTAACTGCTGCTGGCTGGATAATGCAAGTCGGGGATCATCCCCCCGCGTGGTAGCACCAATTGAATTTCCTAACAATTTCCTAATTCAGTCGATCAGTCGTACTTGCTGTGCTTTGGTTGTGTTGTCACTGTCATGTATGTTACATACACTGCCCGTACCAATTGCCTGCAGGGAAACATGTGTCGGTAGCATGCGATTCAAATCTGTGCGTTTACCAAAGGCAATGGCAACAAATATCAATATCCGTAGGCGACTCAGATCGAAACATCGCAGGCCTCGGCAGCAGGTTGCGACCCTGTCAAGTCAGCTCCGTAACTGCGTCTGTCGACAGGCTTGTGAACATTGAGCATGATATTTTGCGCTATCATGATCAGCTCATGTCAGTCAATTCCAGCTTCCAGTTACTATTCCCGTTCGGGTGGACTGTTTGTCCGCCTGCTAATACTAGGTTCTCTTCCAATTCGCTGTCGGTGGTTCTTTCCAATACCAATGCATCACGTTCATTCTGAACTGAATACCGGTATTGACGCCTGGCCCGATCGAAAAAGACACGAGTCACACGCATGATGTTCTTACTCAAAGCGACGTGCCTTCCTGTCAGGCACGTAGTACGGAAGCTTCACCTGTCCTAGGGTGCACCCTACTTATAGTTCGATGCATGCACTATTTCCATTTCTCGCCTCTCACTTATTGTCTGGTTGCCTCTGGTGTGTAGAAGCGCTACCATGAACTTCCTCCATTGGGGGTCTTTGTTCCTCAGCATCCTTTGGGCCTCCGCGGTAGCTGCTATTCCATCACGAACCATCGATAAACGGGCATCCAGTCCCTATGTGAGCACCAACGGCCCTGACTTTGTAGTGAACGGGAGGTATGCATCAATCTTGGTTGGACGTGAACCTGCAGTAAAACATCTTCAATCAGTTCATTGAAGTACATCGGTACTAACGCTTATTGGCTCCCTACGCTAAACACGAATGAGGATATATGGAATACGCTGGCGAATATATCAGCTCTTGGCATCAAGGTCGTCAGACTATGGGCATTCAATGGTATGTATCACTGTTTTACCCTTTCGATGCAATTGATACCATCAATCATGGTCAGATGTGGACACCATTCCCGTGAATGGCACTTGGTTCCAACTCATCCAGAATGGCACCGTATCTGTCAACGCTGGACCGAACGGTCTCCAAAAGCTTGACACAATCATCCAAATGGCTGAACAACATGGCCTATACATCATTCTATCTCTTACGAACAACTGGAACCCTGTGCCACTCCAGAACGACACCCTTCCTCGCAATTATCTATCTAACAATTACGGTTGGCTTTGATTGGACTCTTGTCCCCTGCATCATTTTTGATCATGACTTTAGGTGGCATGGATTCATATGTTCGCCAATTCGGCCTCCAAACTCATGACGAGTTCTATACCAATTCATCGGTATTAACGTCTTTCATGAATTACACGACACAAGTGGTCTCCCGCTACGTGAATAGTGCATCGGTCTTCAGTTATGAGTTGGCTAATGACGCCAGGTACGTGGTGGCCTATCTTTTGGAGCTGCTCAACTTAATAGACTATCCAGATGCAACTCTACCTTGCCAGCATCTCCTACCTGTACGACAGAAACGATCACGGCCTGGCATGCGACGGTAGCCGCGCACATCCGCAGCATTGATCCAAACCACCTCATCTCTTCGGGGTATGTCACAATGTTGATGACAACCATAGGCACTATCTGACGGCTGATCTAGTGTCGGAGGATACTTGTGTACAGATTGCCCGAAATTGTACCCTCTGACCCCAGCACCAGCTCCATCACCAGCTCCTGGAAAAAAGAAGCGTAGCCAAGCAAAACCTGTGACCAAGAAGCAAATTATTCGAGAACAATCTGAGAGGAGACGCCGCAACAGAGAAGCTGCGAAACGTGCGGGGACCCTGGTGGAAGACGGTGTGCGAGTAAGAGGACGGTGGGTTTCGACAGGTAAGTCAACACTACCGTAGCAGTTTCTCGGCTGATTATGTTTGACAGCTACCAAGAGGCAACAGGCTTCGACCTCGGGGTCACTGTATGACGGTTCATACGGCGTCGACAGTCAAGACATCTCGAACATTCCAGATATCGGGTTCTCTTCATTCCAGCTATTCCCCGACCAGCAATCATATGGTCCTGATGACCCAAATGTTGCGCCTTGGCAAAGCGTAGAGCAAATCGGTGTCCAGTGGATCACCACTCAGGCCCAAAGTGCATCTGCGTGAGCATCTTGTGATTGTCCAATGTATCTGAATATCTGATATCTATCTCAGCGTCGGAAAACCATCGGTGCTCACTGCCTTTGGTCTAGTTACGCAATCCAATGCTCCTGACTTCGTGCCATTCAACTCTACGGTTGCTCCATTTGCTACCAACAATGTTATGAAGCGACAAAGCTCGCTTGGCTATGGTGTGACCAGCCAACAGCAAGCAGAAACTTACACGACATGGCTTGATAGTGCGTTCTTCAGTATCATCCTCAGTATCTTTTCTGGCCTTACAAATATTTGATTAGCTGGTATTGCTGCGGGACTCAACGGCATAGTGCAGTACCAATGGGGTCAGTCCGGCCTCACAGCTGAACCGGGTACTACCATCACTCCTTCTACTACCACTGGAGAGTCGCCTACGCCGAGCAGCTCAGGAGAGACACCCACTCCCGAAGAAACTACTGGCGAGTCCCCCAATGATGGTTACGCTATGTTCGTGGTCCAGCCATAAATATTACATTCTGACATTTACTGACCTCCTCGCAGTACCGGCTCGACTACTGTTCAGCAAATCCTTGGGAACGCGGCCCAATCCATTGCCGCGGACTGAAAGATACTCGACCTTACATTTAAATGAATGCTATATCTGACTTGCTCTTGGACTCATGATCAATGAACGTACGATTTTCTTTGTTGTACAATCTGACAATTCACGTCACCCTTCTTGGACATCTGTGCGGACTTCCAGTACAGTTGTTTTTACAACCTGTAACTTTAGATAAGCATATACTTAGGAAGTTTTTTTTGTGGCGTAGTATTAATTTAATATATTGTTGACTCGATGAGTAGAACCGGTTTGCAGTTTCAATTGAGTCAGTTCATCAAACGCACTGGTTCTTTGCAGCTCACAGATACGTAGGATCGATTAATCGATAATCAATCACTCGAAGGAGCAACGAGATGCTGTAAATTTGTTGTACATGTAAAGATAAGTGGTTGCAAGGCGGACTTTTAATAATATGTTACCGGGTGCGTACTCAATTACAAAATAAGTATGTAGAAAGCTTCGCATTCTAGCCGAACTCTCCTAATTCACTGATTTGCTCATGAATCCCGTCCTGGGTTCCTTGGTTGCGTAATGTTTATATCGGCTGTAATTGGATCAAGGTAGTGTGGTGGGCAGAACTACTTGAGAATAGTAGTGCCGGCAGAACCGGCAGAACCGGCAGAACCGGCAGAACAACCAGTTCTGCCGGTTGGCATAACTCTAGCGGTGAAAATTTTGTATCTACAACATCAATGACAGTCCTACTGAAGACATCAACGACGCCTCGTCCCATCCATCATCCTCACCATCATGGTCCACAACATCCACCTCATCTACAGCAGCCTGTGGTACTAACCCTCGGTCAACCCTCTCCAATTCGACAAAATCAAAGGCCCTCCCTTCAAGAACTTCTGTGTCGTCAATACTCACAACTTCTTCTAGGTTCTCCTGTACTTCGAGAGCATCAAATGCTTCAGCGATTTCGTCGGCTGATATGGTCTCGGGACCTGCAAGGAGGTCGTCTACATCTTGTGGTTCTGCTGCGAGGGGAGGCGCCCATGCGAAATTGACTTCCAGATCCTGGGCGACATCAACATTGATTCCAACCTCCTCGCGAGTGTGCATATGCATATGCCGACGATGTGCAGGCTTTCCGTTGTCCTCCGCTCTTTTAGCTTGCTCATAACGAAGGTTTGCGCGAATCTTCCCAAGTGTTTCAAATGTTTCGACTGAAAGATTACAGCGCCTTGCAGATTGTGTGGTGCCGAGATCGGAGAATGTCCGTTCAACCTCGCCTGCATGCCCGACAATTGATAAAATTGTCATGGCAAATGCCTTGAGCGGGTGAGTCTCTGCATTCATTGGAAGGTTCTTCCACCACAAAAGGCCGTCTGCTTGCCCCCCCGCAAATGGTGCCACTGACTCGTTGTATACTTGCAGGTCATCCACCAGTTTCTTCGCCTTCAATTTGTCCCATTTCCAGCGCTTCGCAATGCCAAGTGCGATTTTAACCATGAATTGGAATGACCTCCCATTTGCTACTTGGGTGACTGCGAGTTTTCGGCACATTGGGTGGAGATATAGAGCGAGTGAGTGGATCTCGGTGTTCATAGTGTGAAATTGTCGATTAAAGACTGACTTGGCATGTCTCCAGAAGTCAATGTCGTAGTCATCGTCGAAAGTCAGCTGCGACATTTGCTTGGCACACCGAAGGAGTTCCAGCATACAGTCCGCGAGCGAAGCTTGGCGCGACTCAAGGTTCCCAATTGCGTCGACAATGAATTTGACGGTGTTGACAATCTGCTCCAGATGCCTCCAGAATAGAGGGTCGCCGAGAATTATTTTGATAACATCGTGTGCGACGGGAGTTAGATTATTTGTCTTCTTCCTTGCATCTTGGCGCATGCACATGAGGGTCAGCGGAGAACTATGAGGTCAAATATTGGTACCGATACTCTGTCTTTGATAATGCTAGTGGAATCTCACCGATAATCTAACACACTTAGACATTGCAAAATCAATGCATAGAACCGGGACTCGCAGTTCTGCTTCATTTTCCGCGTGATGTTTTGTTTCTTCGCTTCATCATTGAGCTGCCCACCCCAGTAGTGGGATGAGTTGAAAAAGGTAACTACTCGAGTTGCTTTTGCAACAACTTTCTTCATCGTGGGATACGACATAATGTTTCCAATTAATGTATTGAGACTGTGAATAAAGCATACAAATCCCTACCAATTGCAAGTTAGTGCAATTGTCATGACATGTGGATTGACTATCGACTTACGAGGATCCAGGGATATTGTTCCTGGAACTTGCGGCGATAAGCCTGCATGACAGTTGGATTATCTGTCGTGACTGCAATGAAATTTTTGCCATCTCCAACTTCCATTTGGTCCATTGCCTTCTGTGAGACGGTGATAAGATTATCTGATGTGGCTCTCTGTCCAGTCATGTCCTGTAATGCGAGAACAACTGGAGGATGATTCACTTCTACGGCAACTGAGCCATAAAGACTTCTCTTCAATATATCCTCCCATCCATCAAGAAGCAGTGTGAGACATTTGCGTTCCTTGAGTCGATCTATCTCCTCCTGCTGGACTCAAACAGCCTCACCATCAAGGAGGTGATGAGATAATACATATCGGGATGGAACTTTGTATGATGGCCGAATTACGTCGATAAACTCGCGAAAATATTCGTCATCTCCTACACGAAATGGGATGTTGGCGTGAATTATGAACCTGTTACATGATATTGGTTTGGAATTTTTGTTGCACATTCATCGTGAACCTACCGAAGCAGTTTTATATTTGCAAGTTTGGCTTGCTCGTCACTAAGTGGGTAGTCTACATATCCATCCAATGTCGAAATCTTCTTCCGCTTCTTGATCACACCACCAGAACTAGACGAAGCAGCTGGTGAGATAACTTGACCACCATCGTCACCTGTCTTGTTCATAATAAATGTCCGGGCTTTTCGGCGAAGCTCAGGAGCAGCATCCTTGCAGTGGCGGATGATATGGTTAGGCAGACTATTGTCGCGACCTTGGATTTTGGCGCCAGGGGAATTGTCGAGATTACCACAGTGCTTGCATTTCCAGAAGTAACGGCCAGAACTGTTTGCAACTTTGTCGAGACGCTCAAAGTTGTCGTTGATTAGGGATGGCACTGGGCGGCCACCAGCATGGACCATATTTTGGGACGAAGGATCAGCCAAGAGGCATATGTGACTCGTTTCACTTTTTTTTAAGGTACACATATTGTACAGATTATTATGGACTAGTGCTCTACCAACCCTGAGTTCCGCCAAGTTCTGCCAGCACTTTTTCATGGAGTTCTGCCATCTGCCAGGCACAACCAGTTCTGCCAAACCGGTTGGCAGAACTCGTCAGTTCTGCCCACAACACTAGATCAAGGCCTTGAGGCTTGAAGTTTTCTCGCCAAACACCAAAGTTTAATTTAAAACAAACCCGACAATGCGAATCACGTGATCAACTTGACGTCATCGATGAGGCTAGAGCTCGAGGCGAACGGGTCACACAAAATTAAAAGAAAAAGCCTCAGTCGTTTTGATCATCCCAGGACTTGCCACTATTGCACAGAAAAAATTGTGGAATTCAGATACGAGGGCATTAGCAACACCCGACTTTTATGTAAATCTGGAGGCTGAACAAAAATCGAACAGGGTGAGCACTAGAACCAAAGTCAGACATAGTGACATGACAGGACTTCAAGGCATGTTTCTGATGGCCGACGAATTCAGAACACTGTAAATCCAAATTCGAGACACAATACTCACGCAACTTGAGCACCAACGAGCACGTATTGATTGGCTGCAGTTGGTTCAACTTGCAAGGCAAGGCCACAAAATGGCCATTGTCATACTTTCAAGATTTCTTTGCTCACCAAAATATTTTCCTGTGCACTGACGCGCGTCGCCGAACAAAAAGCAACAAGACTTGTAAGGCTGCTAGTGATTGTGCAAGTGGCTTTGATTGCAATATTCTGCAAAGCCTATCGGTTGACAGGAGAGGGCAGCCTGCTAAAACATGCTGGAAATAGTGCGTTTACTAGCAACTAAATAGTGAATAAGCAGGTACAAGTGAATCAGGCGAGTGAGTACATAAGAAGCAAAACAGCCAGTTTTTCATACTCCGACAGAAGCTAGTAACTCATGCAGGTTCGAACTTTGAACCCGCCTCGCCGACGTAATTTGATGTCTAGTAATTAATAGAGTACGTTCAAGGCCCCGAACCAAGTTCCTGAGCAACCGGAGTCGTCACTGATCTCGCAACACTCAACCCAATATTGATGTTTATTTTATGTAATACATGAATATTGAATCTTACACGGTCACAGTCATGTCACAAACAACTCGTCACGGCGTTACAATAATGTTTGTCGGCGTGTAGGCGACAATAAGTATGCTATATTTCTGGTTCGTCTTAAGACTTCCTTGCCACCATCTGCGTCGAGTACGGTGTTCATGAAGTTCTTTATCGACAATCTACCTGTTTGTATTGTTATATTTGCAAAGAATCATGATGCTGAAGTTCTCTACTTCAGATTATCTTCCCTTATGACCGAATTTACCCTGGTTCGTGCATCCAAGTGCGAGCCATGCTTAACGCTGACTCACTTATCTGCAGAACAATATGCGTACATGTGTGATCTCAAAAGAACCCTGGATGCAACAGTACAGCACACGTAGATATTGTCCTGGGCCTGCTATTCTGACTGCTTTACTCTAGGGGCACTGCGTTTTGGAGATGCCTTCAGGAACAGGGAAGACCGTCTCACTGCTGTCTCTAATTGTGTCATACCAGCAGGTACGTTTTAAAGCTCGTATCTCAGCAGATTTTTGAGTGCTTCTCGCTAGTTTTACCCCACGAAACGGAAACTTATCTATTGCTCACGGACGGTTCCCGAGATTGAGAAAGCATTGGCCGAGCTGAAGCGTCTCATGGCATACCGGATTAAGTTCGCAGAAACTCCAGAACAAAAAACAAAAGAAAAAAGTTTCATGGGACTCGGACTCACCAGTAGGAAGAATCTCTGCATACACCCAGATGTGAGTACACATTCCATAACGAAAAATGAAATACCCGTGCCCCAGCTTATGCCTTTCTAGGTCTCTAAGGAGAAGAAGGGAAAGGTAGTTGACGCCCGTTGTCGGGACCTCACCAATTCTGCTGCATGTGAGAAAGGTCGCGCAGATCCAGGTTCAGTCGAATTGTGCGATTGGCATGAGGTGAGGCAATGAAATTTACATTAATCGCTCCATATATGCTCACTCATCTTAGAACCTGGGTAAAGGCGAACCTGGGTCCTTAATACCCCCTGGCATATGGACATTAGCTGATGTTCTTCAGCACGGGCGTGAAAACAAGACATGTCCGTACTTCACAGTTCGGCGAATGGTGAGTGACGTCAATATTACTCAGTAACTCTCATCAACTGCGCAAGATGCCATTCGTGGATGTCATCATCTACTCTTTCCACTATCTGCTTGATCCTAAAGTTGCCGAGCAAGTTTCCAAGGAACTCTCAAAAGATGCCATCGTCGTTTTTGACGAAGCACACAATATTGGTAGGATCTTGTCCAATAATTATTTGATTTCTCTATAATTTATCACAGATAATGTATGCATCGAGTCACTGAGTATTGACTTGACCCGACCGATGTTGGACTCAGCTGCACGCAGTGTTGTGAAATTGGGTGAAAAAATAGACGAGTCGGTGTTTTATATATCATTGTGATCGTAGCAACTCAAGCATATCTTTTTAGGATCAAGAAAACGGACGCAGCAAAACTGCAGGACGAGTATGCGAGACTTGTCGAAGGGTTGCAGGAATCGGCGGCGGATGCTTCTGACGAAGATGCATTCATGGCTAACCCAGGTTCGTCGAGAAGGAAAGCAGCCCTCCGCTCTACTGAAATTTCCAGGAAAGTTTTGCCAGACGACCTCCTCAAAGAAGCTATTCCAGGAAACATCAGAAAGGCCGAACATTTTGTGGCATTCCTGAAGCGATTTGTGGAATATCTCAAGGTTTTCAATCTATTTGACACCCACGCGGCACACTCCGCTGACAGCTACCATAGACCAGGATGCGCGTTTTGCATGTCGTTGCCGAAACACCATTGTCGTTTCTACAGCACTTGAAAGATATCACTTATATTGAACGGCGACCATTGCGGCGAGTATAGTTTTCTTTCCGCCAGTATCTTTTAATGTTAGCCTTTAGGTTTTGTGCAGAGCGATTACAGTCGATGATCCGTACATTGGAGCTGAATCGGCTAGATGAGCACTCAGCATTGCAAAAGGTCGCAAGTTTTGCAACGCTCGTCGCAACTTACGAAAAGGGTTCGAACACTAATTCTCGTTAGTATCGATTCTAACTTTGTTACAGGGTTTCTGCTTATTCTTGAACCATTCGAAACCGATAATGCGACCGTTCCTAATCCCATCTTCCACTTCACGTGAGGGTTTGGTTGGTCGTTCCGAGCTTTTTCCCTACTCAGCATTGACTTCAGATGCCTGGATCCGTCGCTCGCAATCAAACCCGTATTCGAGCATTTCAGTAGCGTCGTAATCACTTCAGGAACCATCTCTCCGTTGGACATGTATCCAAAGATGCTGCAATTCACCCCTGTCGTGCAAGAAACATATCCCATGACGCTTACACGCAATGCTTTCTTACCGTTAGTGAGTTGTCTTGCCAATCTTTGTGTTCTTGTCCACTGAAAATAGAAGGTCATCACGCGAGGAAGTGACCAAGTCGCTATCAGTTCACGTTTTGAAGTCAGAAACGACCCTGCCGTAGTTCGCAACTTTGGAAGTATTCTCATCGAGTACAGCAAGATCGTACCAGACGGGATTGTGGCTTTCTTCCCTAGTTACCTATACATGGAGTCCATCGTCGCAGCTTGGAATGATATGGTAAATCTATGTGTCCCACGAGATAAAACTTCATTCATTGTTTTGATAGGGTATTCTCAACGAGGTCTGGAAGAACAAGTTAATATTTGTGGAAACGCCAGATGCAAACGAGACGAGCATCGCTTTGGAAAACTATCGCCGAGTGAGAATGTTTATGCCACAAATAAGTTGTGCCACTCACAGAATTGCTGCAGGCTTGCGATAATGGTCGAGGAGCTGTGCTTTTGTCGGTCGCGCGTGGCAAAGTGTCAGAGGGTATCGATTTTGATCACAACTATGGAAGAGCTGTGATCATGTTTGGGTTTGTGGTCGAATTCATCGAACAGAGTCGGCAACTGATGAAATCGTAAATAGGGTGCCATACCAATACACGGAGAGCCGGATATTAAAAGCACGGTTGGAGTATTTGCGTGATGCATACCGCATAAGAGAATCCGAGTTTCTTGGTTTTGATGCCATGCGCAACGCCGCTCAATGCGTTGGACGTGTCTTGCGAGGTAAGACTGATTGGGGTTTGATGGTGTTCGCAGATAAGGCTAGTGCGTCTTTTGCAAGCGATCGTCTGACTAACTTGGCAATGGTGACAGCGTTTTGCTCGTGCGGATAAACGGGCCAAGTTACCGCGATGGATAAATCAATATATCACGGAGGTTGCTTCTAATCTTTCCACGGATATGGCCTTGACGCTTTCGAAGCTGTTCATGCGAACGATCTCGCAGAATCCCAACGAGAATCAAACTGGTGTATCGTTATGGACATTGGATGATATTGAGAAAGCGCAAGCGAAGCAGAAGGAACAAGCACTGCTGATGGAGCAACAACAGGAGCAGGAAGATGAGATGGATATCGATTACGGAGACGGTGGGATTGATGATGACGTTGTGCTGGGCTTGGACGTGTAGTTATACATAGTAGAGATATAATTTCCAGGAAGGGAATCTTCGGGGGTGGCAAACATGAACAACTTGTGAACGAGAATGCATTAGGTGATCCAAGACGTGATATATGTATATATATATATACAGACTTGTCGTCAGTCGACCAGTGTGGTGAGGTATGTCATGATCACTGGGGGCACTGTGGACATGTTCCCGAACGCTGTGAAATCGACATGAGAAGATATTTAAAAATTGAGGAACGCGGGTTTTACTTCTTGTGCGATGAGCCGCTGAGGTTGACTGGAGAATAACAATAAGCGGAAAGGTTCGCGGAAGCAAAAAGCACTTACCTATAATACCGACGGCAATTGCATGGTCTGCCCGGTGATCCGCACGTGGCAGGATGAGTGGAACTGAGTATGCAGTCTCGTGCGAGACAGTCAATGTAAGTGTCTCCTTGGAAAGTGAGATGACCGCATGCCGTATTTTTTATGAAACGCAGCTGTCGGTAGCACATTCTGAATAGGATATGGAACAAATGGCTATTTCAGTTTTTGATAAAGCTTAAGAAGTTAGAATGGGTCTTACACTTTGTCGGCGGCGGTAGGACAAACGCAAGCGACGAGTTTTGAGTTTATCAAAAGCACTGCTTTTTACTGACTTCGTGAGATCTTCCCGCCGGCATCGTTAATTGGCTACGAGTACTTACAGTGCTTGCAGTCGTAGGCAGAGTGACGGGGAGAGTCTCCTGCTTTTAAACCGAGACTATGCGCAGTAATATAATTAACTATTACATACCGCCAACTCCCGTGTCATACCACTATAGCAGTCCTTTCAAATCTGCTTTATGGCAAAAAATAATTTACGACTCGGTGCGAACTTTGGGCAAATTTTTTACCCATTGACCTTTTTTTGTAATTGATCGACGTTCACCGATGGGCGCGAATAGGACCCCTGGTGCTTTTAGATCACGTGCTCATCCCAGAGCCCCTTTCATGTTACAAGCAGAATACTTTTTCTACAAATCTAGCCGGACAAAGGATCAGGCCCCCGACAGCGAAGCACTGAAATTTTTTCCGCATTGTACGTATACGACCCTTTGGACCTCAAAAATTTGTCCGGACGGCATCAGGTCTCCCCCACCTATATTTAGGGATCCCGCGCGAGGTCAAGACGTGAGCTTGTATTCCACCCAAGGAAATTCTGTCCCGAAGCCGTGGCTCCTTTCTCTGAATCCACCGTGCAACGTGCAAAAGGCACAATCTTGCTTCTCTTCCTGGGTATCCATTGAAACGGTGGCCTCATTGGCGCCCGGATCGTGTTTGTCAGTGTAAAGGCTTGACGGCTTCGCACCTCGAAAGGCGGTTGGTGTTCCAAGCTTAGCCTCCTATGCATCCGAACTACGAACTAGCGTCGTAATCTTCTGTTTCCGCTTGATCGCACTTGTCATGATGACATATATACCCGGTGTAAGCCAACGCTGTTAACAGTTATTGGCCGCTGAAGAAACTCTCCCTCCGAATCTCGGAAGAGCGACGTCAACTACCTGCGCGCCCCTGCAAGTCAATCATGTTAGACCATGTTCCCACCTCGGTCAATCAAACGTCACAGGTCTTGTACTCGCATGTCGCCACACTCATGGGCCACTATCTTCAAAATCCTCTTTCTATTTGGCTAAACTTGTCAGTCGACGGACTCCACTGCTCATCAAGGAAACCAAATTGACGCGGCGTCAATGTCATCGGTAGTCTTTGCTCGACCTCGGCCCTGGAAGTTTTTTCCAAAACTTCGAAACCCCGCGCTGGAATCGGCATTTGGAATGTGACGTACAGGCACTATGACACAAAAATCCCTATTCTCCTGGGGACCGATGAGGTACCCATTCTTGAACCTATTGCATACCTGCGATAAAAGCTTCCCTATACGCCTCAAATTGTCAAACCTACAACTAGATTCAGCTATCACGGTACCGATATTAGCCTTGCCATAAATTCTTCGTTGCTTTTGGCATATATGATTATGACAAGAAGGCTTACCTGGAAACGGCTTCCTCTGAGGTACAACACAGATAAACGATGTTCCCCTGTCGCCGCATTCCGCTCAACGTTCAGTCATCGAACGTGAGGCGAAACGTCTTGTCCGAATAGACCCGACGGTGGCTTTCGCCTTGTAGATTCAAATCCTCGCATGGTATCGCGAATGTCAGTTGATTTACTCACATTGAATTGAGCAACTGTCAGGGCATAGATTGTAGCATGTCTGCTGCTTCAATACGTGATTGGGTAAGGATTCAAAACTTCGTTGACCAGGTCAAGATTCTGTCAGTGCGTGACGTGGTGTGGCGTGAAATTGTAGGATGACGTCTTTATACCGATTCATATCCGTTTTCAGCTCTGGCAACTGGTTAATCAATGATGCCAAAAGTATGTCCACCTCGGGAACTGAAGGGAAGGCCATCGCCATGACAGGCATGGCCAGAACGCTTAGAGACCTTTAGTCATGACTATAGTAATAACAATGTCATTCCTGTGTGAAAGGCCACGGTTCTTGTTCGGTCGTTGAGGCCTAGGATCGGAGACGAGGCGACAAGTGCACAACGAAAACGTGATGCGTTGCGCATAACAACGATCCACTGACGTACAAAAACTGATCAGCGATCCAGAAAACTCGCAGTGCAATCGTGCAAAGCTTGTCAGGAGTATCCTCCTGACTTATCCTACCTCCTCACTTGATCCAAATGTCATATTCCCCGCCCCGAGCTACCTTCTATTGAGAATATCATTTCACGGAGTTCATTGAATGGTCGTTGTTGTAAATCTCAAGACAAGCTTGCCGCATAAAAAGCGAGGAGATCTCCCAAACTCAGCCCTGAGATTTATAAAATATGGATTATACGTCCTAACCCCCAACTTAGTCTAATGTTTGTGCAAAAAGTAAAATGCACCTCATGTCAGTGCAGGAATCTCCTCTGACGCAACCTCCGCGACCTCATCGTGAGAAATATTTTCCTTGATATTTCGTATAGGCTCGCCCCTGATGACCTTCTTTACTTCCTCGGCATCCAAAGTTTCGTGTTCCACTAGGGCATGCGCAAGCTACGGAAGCGGATGAGATGTGAAGATAAATAGAAAGAAGAGATGCGCGCACCCGATGTAGTTCCTCCTTCTTTTCCGTTAGAAGTTTGGTTGCCCGCGCCTCACCTTGTTGCAGTAATCTAATGGCAGCATGGTCAACATAATGACAACAACTCAACAGAAGTTACTCGCTTGGTGATCTCCGCATCTATCTTCTCCCTGGTGGCAGGGCTTATCGCTTCATCTTGGTCGCTATAGAATACTGGGCCAACTTTTTCCGAGAAACCCCATTTCTACAGATGTCACCGAAGTAGCGGTGAGAACGTAATGTCCAAGGGATCAATTTGATTTATGCTAACCTTGACCATAGCGGTTGCAGTACGAGTGGCGTGCTGGAGATCAGATGAGGCGCCGCTAGTGAGGCCCCCTGTCCCATAAACTAAAATCCCAAGTCAGCAGTTGTGGGAGATCGGGATGAGAAGAACTCGCTTAGTCCCTCCGCTACACGACCACCCATACAAACGTCAATCGTGGCTTTGAACTCCGTCTGCGTTACTGAATACCGGTCATCTTCAGGAAGTTGGGAAGTCTGATATATGCACGAATTAGTATAATCTTCAAGCCTGAAGGTTCATCATCGGCACTTACAACGCCCAACGCATGACCACGCGGAACACACGTGACTTTGTGGAGGGGCATAGCACCGTCCGTATAAAGAGCTGTTAGGGCATGTCCTCCCTACCACCATCCATCAGCTTCGAATTTCCACGCGAGATTTGTGTGGTTGATAATGCACCTCGTGATAAGCGGTCAACAACTTGTTCTTCTCGTCAATGTATGCGCTCTTCCTCTCGGCTCCCAGAAGAATGCGATCCTACATCAATATAAGGTTAGAAAATTGAGCTAAATTAGCCGGCAAATGAAGAACACGCGCCTTGGCCCATTCAAAGTGCTTTAATGTGACCTCGCTATAACCTTCCTTTGATGCTTGTATAGCAGCTTGACTGATATATAACGTGTCAAACTCTCCGAAAGACAGGAAAAGCGCATGTTGCACTCACTTCACCATATTTTGCAGTTCAGCACCGGAAAACCCTGGTGTACCCCGCGCTAGTACTTTCGGATCGACAGCTAACGGCAAGCCCACCATGATTTAGTAATTAGGTTACACCGAGTAGGAGAAAAAACGTACCAACGCTTGCGACTACCTCTTTCATGAAATGTTGCAGAAGTTGAACTCGGCCGCGGATATCGGGCAAAGGTACAGCAATGATCCTATCAAAACGACCCGGACGCGTCAAAGCACTAGAAAAAATTGTCAGACATCGGCACCGGATATGTCAAGCCTAGCACTGACGGGTCCAAACTTTCCGGGAAGTTAGTCGCGGCAATGACGATAATGCCTTCGCTTTGCAGGAAACCATCCATCTCCACCAACAGTTGATTCAAAGTCTGTTTCATATAATGCTGGTCTCTATGACTGCGCTTCCCACCAACAGCATCCAATTCGTCGATGAAAATAATAGCAGGCTGTCTCTTCCGAGCGGTTGCAAAAAGCTCTCGGACACGTTTGGCACCAACACCCACGAACATTTCCTCAAACTCAGAGCCGGATGCGAAGAAAAATGGCACTCCCGCCTCTCCAGCAATAGCACGTGCGAGCATGGTTTTACCGGTGCCGGGAGGTCCAGTTAGCAAGACACCCTTCGGAAGTTTACCACCAAGGGATGCGAAGACAGTGGGATCCTTGAGAAATTCTACAATATCATGGAGTTCCTAGATAGACATGAAATATGTCTTGAACAATTGATAAGCTGCAAAGCTTACCTCTTTCACTTCGTCGACACCATGGACATCGCTAAACCGTATGGTCCTTTGTTGAAGTGGTTCAAACTCTGCTTGTCGAGGAACAGGTTTAAGCAAGCCAGAATTCTCCAAGAGCACAGACAAGATGACGAGAATGACTATCGAGGAACAAGAGATCAAAGACCAGAAGCTCATGATCTTATGTGCACTTACAAAATCCACCCATGGCAGTCAAAACTAGGAACCGCACAAGACGCATGATTGTAGACCCTTTCGCTGGAAGCAAGTGAGATACACGCATTTGTATATGCTGACGACTACTTACGTTCACTGATAGTAACATGGATCGGATTACCGCTTACGCCACTACCCTTGCTCAGGGCAGCTGCGAGATTTGCCATGTCCGTGTTCTGAGAAGCTGAGACACCGTCAAGACGGGAAGTCGCGAGTAAAGGTCCTGTGCGCCCAGCAAGTACATCGGAAGCAATCTCTTGACTTCGGGATGGAGGTGGTGTCGGTAACGAAGTTGAAGGAGCATCAGAAGGGAGATGTGAAGCGTTGGCCGGAGTATCAGTTGGTGAGGGGTCTGTAGTGGTAGCAGTACCAGTAGCGGCAGCAAGAAGCGAATCACGTCTGCGAACAGCCAAGTTGACTGAAGCTTCTTGACCAGTCTTGAGCAATGATGTAAGATACAGCTGGAACGCTGCATCGGACCGAAGAAGAGGTGATGCTGAATTCTATCGAAAGCAAAACAACCCATGAATTTAATGAGAATGGATGAGAGATGCAAAAAGTATTTACGAATTCGCACATCCTCTCCCAACGAGTGATCACTACTTCATACCCAGCTTTCACTTGCGTGTCTACAAGAACATGATATAAGGCCAGCTGCTTAGCAACATCATCTGGATTTGTGTTAGCATCTGCTTCTAGACGAGCGACCTTCGCTACGACCGCTGGGGCAGGCGTTGACGATCCTTTCGACCAAGGGAATAATGACAGCGTGCGTCGAAGACAAGGCTGTGCAGTTGATGGTTGGATCCGATGTTGGGTAATTAGCAGGGATGCTTTAGATGCGAGCGTAAATCTTGAGTAGGGTTGTATTGGTCGAGAATTAGAGAACGAGCGGAACTGTATGCATGACTTTGGAGACAGAGAAACGACTGAACGCCCTTGGGCGCGCAGGATGCCCGGTAGCTGCAAAATAACACGGTTAATGCAGTAGGACACGATTGGACTAACAGTCGCTTACCAGGAGGTGCGCGGACATGCACTGGAGAGTTACAGGGTAATGGTGGCACTAGTGCTTGCGACAAGAGGGTACATACACTGCGGGAAGAAAAACAGTCGGCTTTACGTAATCCCACTTTTGATTTGGGTACTCGGCATTATATGTTTTGGAACTGAACATGACTGACAAGCAGAAGGGTGAGTGGCTCACTGATTCATGAATTCTGTTATGAATATTACTACCAGTCATCGTTGCCCTGACATCTGCATCCGAGACATGCACAGCTGCACTCTCCGCACTCGCCTCCCGAAATCAGCGCGATAAATCTGAGCCCCAAACCTCCGATCTCGCTGTGATCCTCAAAGACCTAGACTCTCTCCTTTCTCTGATATATAACTCCGGTACCAAACTTGCTCTTGCCCTCAAACCATCATCTCCTACATACTCCGCTTCTCTACCCGTGATCGAGGATCTGGCGAAATATACGTCTGGCATCGTGCATTGCATCCATCTTTTGAATCCTGACTTACATGGGGCGACGCTTATCAAGGAGGTGCAGCATGAGGTGACAGCTATTGTTGAGGCTTTGCGTGCAATCGTGCAGACATTTTTGAACCTTGCTGCGCGTGGTCCCTCGATAGCAAGGAGTGAATCCGCAGGAGAAGAGTATCTTATCAGGACAGGCACTCTTCATGATCTCATAACTCGAGCGCGTGGTCCCAACGGAATTCCAAAAAATACCATTTCTGCTATCAGTCGAAGATGGAAGCAGGACCGAGGGGCCCTTGAAGATAGTCTCCGAGAAGTATCTGAAATGATAGACGGAGCCGAAGGGAGTAAAAACGATGATGTCGATGGCGATAACGTTGACGATGGTTGGGATGAACTTGGTTTGGGTGACACAGGAGAGAAGATGGACAAGGACGAGCTGACGCGTGCAAAAAATGTACAGCAACTGTCTGCTACTTTCAAATCAGCTCTTTTTAAACGCACCGTTTGCCAGGTCCACTCCGTACTGCGGTTGACCACATTATTGCACAAGCGTATATTGCTAGATTTGCTTTCGTCGGCGCCGACCCCACCGCCTCCGAGCTTTGCTCTAGATGCTTTGCTTTTGCAGTCGCATGCACTTCTTGCTGCGTCCGACGAATTGGTGTCCTCATTGTATATTCCTCAGAACCCCGCTACTATCAGGAAGGAGTCGTTAGCGCTGATCGATATAATCAATGGACTTCAATTACAGCTACGGATATTCTTCCCCGATACGTCCTCCCTAGAACAACAGCTCTCTGGACTCAGCATCGAGGGAGATAAGTCAGCATCGACACCTAGCAAATCCATAGCAGACAAAAAGTGGTTTGATCTTTGTTTCGACCAGGTAACAAAAACATCCGCCAATCTCGTGTCTCCCATGTACAAGCCACCCCCAGGGGTCGGCCAGAAACCAAGATGATGGAAGTTCCAGAAGTGTTGGTCGTGCAAGTAATATAGGAAGTTTGTAATATGCAGTGATGTACGCACGAGTCTAGTAATGCATGTCCGAAAGCAAGATGTACAAGTCAAACAAAGCAAAAAATGAAAGCTCTCGAATTAATCAAGCCTCTCCCTCCTCCTTGGTGGCACTCCGGCTCCGCTCCCTGTCATGTCGTAGACGCACTCTCTCTTTGTCGTACTCCTCCCGGAACTTGGCAGCAAGGAAGTTCGGGTGCAAAGCCATGCAACTGTTGGCTCTGAGTTTCTGCTCAAAACTAGCAATCTTGTCTGCTTGTGACTGCAGATCGAAATGATGTTTCTGCGCTTGAATCATAAACAAGGATCCTATGCGAATAAGAAAAAGAAACAAACAGCTTCTTCCGCGCGCTTAGCCTTTGCTTCATCACGCATCTTGTTCAACTCTTTTCTTCGTTCTTCCTCCTTCTCTCTCCTGTTGAGTCCAGAACGAGGAGTGCTACCACCAGCCTGCAGATAAAACAGTTGCGTGAACTTGCAAAACATGGTCAAAACCGCCTTACCCCTTTAAAAAGCTCAGCATACACGCTTTTGTCCCGCAGGTCAAAGTCTGTTGCACCCATGAGACCTGCAGCTTTACGCTGCGGATGAGGAGCAGCGATTTTTGTCACATCGTCAGTTGAAGGTAGTGGCTTTGAAGGGGCAGCGGCAGATTGTGATTGAGCAGAAGTCGCAGCCGAGGTAGAGGATTTGTTTTTCTTAATTGTTGGGAGTTTGCGCTTCTTCAGCTCTGGCGGCGGCAAGGCGGACTGATCAGGTGGGGCAGAAGGATCGACCACCGATGGTGGATGGACGGAAGACTCGTCATCCGCAAAGAGATCAGAGACTTGACTCTGAGCTGTTACGCTAGTAGACACAGATAGGGTGTCAGAAGGCGGGATTTTGCGCTCGTCCTTGATCATGATCTCCTTCTCTTTTCCAGCCTTCGGCTTGCCACCCTTTCCCAATACCAATTTAACTTTGGTAGGTTTGCTCTTCGCGGACAAGGACGTCCTTGCTTTCCCACCACGCTTTGGTGCAGCTTCAGGTTCGAATCCCTCGTCTTCAGCATCTGGGAAAGGTTCGTCAACAAAATAGTCGTCCACGGGATCGTCAATGTCGACTTCGGCATCTTCTGTGTCAGAGAACACCGCATGTTTCTTTGCTCCTGTTACAGAACCCGCCGTCTTTATACGCTTCGCACTCGCATCCACCTTACTCTTCTTTCGAGCTTGACCGGGAGCAACTGAAGCGGTGCTAGCGGCAGTATGTTGATCCATGGGGTCGTGCGCTAGAAAACGCGTTTCTTCGTCTGCATCCACTTCCCCATCAACATCCACGTCCATATCATTATATGTATAATTTTCGTGACCTGTCGGCTCTGGGTCTAGTTCTGCAGTACGAGAGCGCTTGATGCGCGAAGGCTGAGTGTGAGCGTCAGCATCATCATCAAATTCTTCCTCATCAGAATCGACGAGGCGTCTCTTTGATTTCCGTTTGCTGAGCGAAGGCTGGTTTTGATGAGCTTCCTGTGCATTAATACACGGAAATTGTTCACCTTTGAGTCTGCTGAATCCCTGATGGCGACTCGGGACATCAGAGCTCGAAGTGGCGGTGCTCATAACCAAGTTTGGATGTGTTTGAAGGCTTTAGACAACAAGTGCAAACAAACGCGTTGAGTATTAGACTCGGAGAGCAGAACCAGTAGGTGAGTTGCAACAATTCAACGAGAACTGGTTGATAGAATAATTCACATTTAATGCATTTACCCCGTTCGCTATGGCAAAATATGCATGGGAGAGGAGCACTCCCGCGGTACCTGGCTAACATGGCTATCCAACGACCGCGTCATGTCACCGTGCTAGGTGAAGAGTACCCCATCGACCACATGACGAACATATCTCCCACAATCGTGTCCAAGCTCCCACTACGGCTACACACACAACCCTCACATCCCCTCGGCACACTCCGAGCACTCATAGAATCACATTTCCCCTCCTACGCTCACCTCTCCTCGCTCTCTCCCCTCGTCACTCCATACCAAAATTTTGATCTACTGTCTTTCCCAGAAGACCACCCTGGCCGGTCCGTGACAGACAGCTACTATGTCAACAAGGACCTCATGTTGCGCACTCATACCTCTGCTCACGAAGTAGAGGTGTTTGGACGAGGAGAGACGAAGTGGTTGCTTACCGCAGATGTGTACCGGCGCGACGAGATAGACGGGTCGCATTACCCTGTATTTCATCAGACAGAGGGCGCACGTATCGTTTCAGCAAATTCAACAGGCATGAAGGAGATCGAGGAGGACAACGAACGTCTCGCAGCCTATTTGGAACAATCCAGTATAGAAATTGAAGATGTCCCCCATTTATCGCCAATGAATCCTTGTCAGCCAGCTCATGATCCAAAACACACGGAATTGATTGCGAAAAACCTGAAATTGTCCCTGAATAGTCTTATGCTACACTTGTTTGCTGGACGTGTCGGTGCTACTGCTCAAAACCCACTTAAAGTGCGGTGGATAGAAGCTACTTTCCCGTGGACGACACCAAGTTTTGAGGTCGAGGTCTTCTTCCGTGGTAAATGGCTAGAAATTCTCGGTTGTGGGGTCATTTATCAGCCAACGCTCGATAACGCAAGTATGTTGATGACTTGACATATATTAATGTGACAAATAACGCGTAACTAGATGTTTCCAACAAACTGGGGTGGGCGTTCGGCCTTGGACTTGAACGGATAGCAATGATCTTATATTCTATCCCCGACATTCGTTTGTTCTGGTCACAGGACCCCCGTTTCCTCTCGCAGTTCAAACAAGGCGAAATCACTACGTTCAAACCATACTCAAAATACCCGGCATGCTTCAAGGACGTAAGTTTTTGGCTCCCCGAAGGCCAGACGCTTCATGAAAACGATTTTTGCGACCTTGTTCGAGATGTCGCTGGAGATGTGGTGGAGGACGTCGGATTGGCGAGTCTTACTCTAATCCGAGTGTAGCCTGACCTGACCTCCGAGCAGATCGACAATTTCACTCATCCAAAAACTAACCGGAAGAGCCTTTGTTACAGGATCAATTATCGTTCGATGGACAGGTGAGCCCCTGTCTTCCATGAAAGCTTCCTTCTAACATTCAAGTAGATCACTTTCGAACGACGAGGCGAACTCTCTCAATGCACAGGTTATTTCCTGTTTGCGGGATCGGTTCAGAGTTGAGATTCGGTGAATTAAACGTGCTAAAATAATATCTATCGTGCATGCAATCTACCCAAATCGCTCATAGAGGCTCTATGAGCACTTACTAGTGTGGCTAATAGTTCTCCAATATCTGCGCTGCATACCCATCACCCACCTCACCTGAACCCCGCCCCATAGCAATGACATAGGTCATGATGTATCCTGCACGACACCGACTTGCGCCGCCCGCAATAGCCTATCTTTAATCATATACCCTGTTTTCTGACACTCTAATATAGTGCCAGGCTCCTTTCCAGGTATTGGAGCTTGATAAATTGCTTCGTGTTGATTAGGATCAAACTTGTCACCGATAGGGTCAAATGGTTTGACATGATACTTGAAGAGTGTGGATAGCAGGAGGCGATGGGTCATGTCAACGCCTTGATGCAACTCCTTCAGGTAGGATTGGACAGATTTCGAGTCGGGTGATGAATTGCCCGAGTCTGGTGAGGTAGAGTCTGCTTGGGCAAGAGCATCCTCTGGTACGGACTTGAGGGCGAGTGCGAGAACATCTACTGTCTCAAGCAGGTCACCAGCAAAGCGGGTAATAGCAAAATCACGTTGTTGCTCTTTTTCACGAGCAGCATTGCGTTGCAAGTTCAAAAAGTCTGCTTGCAAGTACTGTAACCGACTCTGGAAAACAGTCAGAAACGCGTACAGTGTTCGAGGGAGGATGCTAACTTTTAGGTCCGTGGTTTCAGCTTCTTTTGCTTTGATGGTCTTGATTAACTCAGTCTCCGGCGTGATTTCTGTCTTTTCGGCTTCTACCTCCTTCTCTGCATGCACCTCCGATGCAGGAACCTTGTCATCAGAGTAATGTCGTATGCCAACTATTCGCCGACCGTGAGAGGCCAACGCGTCTCGTGAGGAGCGGCCGATAGTTCTCGACGACAGTGAAGCCGTAGAAGAACGAAAGGCTTGTCGGACGTATACAGCGTTCATGGTATAGAAGAGAGCTACTAGGTGTGTGACCTTATGAACGGAGCCAAACACGTCCAAAAATTTTGGAATGGGAAGGGTCGTGGGAACATATTACGTATCCGCTTGAGGAACTCGTTTAATCCTTCAGGAATCACTAAAAATATAGGCAATAATCAAAAATCTGTTGTGCTCCTGCTTTTCCCGTGTTACTATCTTTTTTCAGATTTCACTGTCTATCTTTTAAAAGTTCTAGTGTTGTGTGTAACTTTCGTTCGTTCGTGGGTGTGCTTGTAGATAATTAACCAAAAGAGGCAACTTGATATGGCATTTATTAAGATGCCTCCGGGTCGCCCAGCTTTTCGACCTTTCCATTTATCTTTCATTTCAACCTCTTCTTCGGTTCAAAATCGTCCAAGACCAATCCTCATTTCTACCATCATGACCGCCCAGATCATCGACGGCACTACCATCGCAAAGTAAGTGATCTGTGATTAACGTCCAACCCGCACAAATCAAATCACGTGCGTTCAGATCTATCCGCGATGATGTCGCACAGAAAATCCAGGCGTTCCAAGCTCAATACCCTCGATTCCAGCCCCAGCTTGTAGTCGTGCAAGCTGGCGAACGTCCTGATTCGAGCACGTACATTCGCATGAAAGCCAAAGCTTCGGAGGAAGTCGGTATCAAGTTTAATCACGTCAGAGTCCCAGAAGCAGCTACGGCCGACGAGATCATCCAGATTGTTAAGAAGCTTTCGGACGATGAAACTGTTAGTGGTGTCCTTGTCCAGCTGCCTCTTGGACCTCATGTCGATGCGGACGGTACCCGCGCTGTCACTGAGGCTGTTTCTCCCGAGAAAGATGTGGATGGGTAAGTTGTCTTCACATGGGAATTTACTTTATCTAAGAGATCTAGCTTCCATGCGTACAATATAGGTCACTTATCTTCGCGTGCTGCTTCCCCGTTGTTCGTTCCTTGTACACCAGCAGCTGTTATTCGTCTGCTGGAGAGTACTGGCGTATCCATCGCTGGGTCAACCGCAGTTGTGTTGGGTCGTAGCGACATCGTCGGCAACCCCGTGGCTGCACTCCTAAGAAGCCGTGACGCAACTGTCACCCAATGCCACAGTCGCACCAAGAACATTGAACAGATCGTCAGTTGCATCTCACGTGATTATCAGACATCCCAACTTTCTCACACTCGCAGGTCAGACAAGCTGATATCGTGGTGGCTGCTATCGGCCAGTCAGCATTTGTCAAAGGTTCGTGGGTGAAACCTGGTGCAGTCGTTGTCGACGTTGGCATCAACTTCGTTCCGGGTATGTTTTTGTTTTTAGCATACGGTCCGAGTTACTTATATGAACAACTCCTAGACGCAACTAAGAAATCAGGTCAACGCCTAGTCGGAGATGTGGATGAAGACGCGTTTGCTGTGGCCTCGCACATCACCCCTGTTCCAGGAGGTGTTGGTCCCATGACTGTCGCTTTACTGATGGAGAATGTATACAACTCTGCTGTTCGTCTCTGGCAAAAGGCTCGAGAGCGTAAGATCAAACCCTTGACACTTGACATCAAGGAGAAAGTTCCAAGCGACATCGAAATTGCTATGGCTCAAACCCCGAAGCCCGTCACTCAGCTTGCAAAAGAGATGGGTCTCCTACCCGACGAACTTGAAAGCTATGGCAAGTTCAAGGCCAAGGTCGAGCTCAGCGTGTTGGATCGCTTGGCACACCGAAAAGATGGGAAATATATTGTCATTGCTGGGTAGGAAATAGTCGAACACGTTTTTCTATTTAAAACTAACTTATTCTCAAAGTATCACGCCCACTCCTCTGGGCGAGGGCAAGTCTACGACTACCATTGGTCTTGCTCAGGCATTGGGCGCACATCTTGGACGTCCGGCATTCGCCTGTGTGCGTCAACCTTCTCAAGGGCCAACATTCGGTATCAAAGGTGGAGCTGCTGGCGGAGGTTACAGTCAAGTAATCCCTATGGATGAGGTAGGGCTGTCTTTTTTTTAGATCCTTTCTCGCCTTGATGTTCTTTTTCTTAGTTTAACCTTCATTTGACTGGTGACATACACGCTGTCACGGCTGCCAACAATTTGCTAGGTATGCTTACTAAATTTGCTTTGACATTCAATCCCTGACTTTGAGCGTAGCTGCTGCTCTTGACGCTCGTATGTTCCATGAGGCGACTCAGTCTGACAAGGTCTGTTGACTTTAGAAGACTCGTTATACAAGCTCACTTTCTACAGGCTCTCTTCAGTCGTCTTGTGCCTTCCAAGAAGGGCAAGCGCGAGTTTGCACCCCTGATGCTCAAGCGCTTGAAGAAGCTCGGTATCGACAAAACTAATCCGAACGACCTGACACCCGAGGAAATCAACCTCTTTGCTCGCCTTGACATCGACGCCGAGACTATCACTTGGAATCGTGTCCTCGACACAAATGACCGTTTCTTGCGGAAGGTCACACTCGGCCGCAACCCTACTGAGAAAGGCCACGAGCGCGAGGCTGGGTTTGACATCGCTGTGGCTAGTGAATGTATGGCTGTGCTGGCGTTGACCACTGATCTCGTTGACATGCGGGAGAGGCTGGGCAACATGGTCGTCGCAACAAGCAAGCGCGGAGAGGCCATTACTGCTGATGACATCGGTGTTGGAGGTGCACTTGCTGTTCTCATGAAGGACACGGTTAAGCCCAACTTGATGCAAACACTCGAGGGTACCCCGGTTTTCGTCCACGCCGGCCCGTTCGCCAACATAGCTCATGGAAATTCTTCTATCCTTGCTGATCGTATCGCTCTCAAGCTCGCAGGAACTGAGGAGGGCGACGCTTCAGACCGTGTTGGCTACGTGCTGACTGAGGGTGGTTTCGGAGCTGACATGGGTATGGAGAAGTTCTGCAATATCAAGTGTCGCGTTAGCGGCCTCAAGCCTGATGCTACCGTCATCGTTGCAACTACCCGTGCGCTAAAGATGCATGGTGGTGGACCTGAGGTGACACCTGGCAAACCCTTGGCTGATACCTATACCAAGGAGGATCTTGTCACCCTCAAGGAGGGTTGCCAGAACCTCGCCAGGCACATCGAGAACTCCAAGAAGTTCGGTGTCAAGGTCATCATTGCCATCAACCAATTTGCGTTTGTGCTCCTTCCTCTCCCGCATGGATATTTTGCTGACTTTCACGTAGTTCTGACACCCCTGCTGAACTTGAGCTCATCCGTCAGGAGGCTCTCGCGGCCGGTGCTGATGCTGCGATAGTGAGCAACCACTGGGCAGAAGGTGGTGCTGGTGCACGTGCCCTTGCCGAGGCGGTCGTTGCAACTTGCGAAGGAGAATCCGGCTTCAGATTCCTCTACGACCTCAACCTCCCCATCGCTCAAAAGATCGAGATAATCTGCAAGGAAATATACCGTGCGGCTGGCATCGAACTTAGCGAGCATGCCAGCAAGCAGATAGAAACTTATACTCGGCAAGGCTACGGCAACCTGCCCAGTATGTCCTTTCTCCCCATGTCTGTGGAACTATATTTATGCCGTTTATTCAGTTTGTATGGCAAAGACTCAATATTCATTCTCTCATGATCCGTCTCTTAAAAACGCTCCTTCGGGTTTCACCGTCCCCATTCGCGAAGTGCGCCTATCTGCCGGAGCTGGTTTCCTATACCCTATCCTCGGAGACATGCAGACCATGCCGGGACTTGGCACACGGCCAGGTAAGTGACACCACGTGCTTCATCCAAAATTTATCTCATGAGAAATCACCGCGCAGGATTCTGGGAAGTCGGACTTGACCCACAAACCGGGCGTGTCGTCGGATTGTTCTAGACGCTTTGCTCTCGCGCTGTCAACCATCGCGACAAGGTACATAGTGGTCATCGTCTTGAGTCTTCATCAGATTCAGCAGCTTCCACGTTGGAAGCCCCGTCTCAACACGGAGCTGTTTGCTGTTCAACACATGCATAGGTTCGCCGTTTAGGTGTTGTGGATATGGCTTATTTAAGACGGTGCTAGCACGCCCCAATAGTTGCTCTTCAGGGCAGTCTTGTTGGGCGTCAGATATATCATGTGTTAAATATATAGCTTTCACATCTATTCATATTACGCCTCATGTACGGGTTAAATACACTTCTTTCCACCTGGGAATCTTGCACTGGGAATGGACTGTGCGTAAGAGGCCGAAGGGAACGTGGCTAGGGAAGTGGTTGCAAGACTGCCGCTCTGCTCGTCATAGGTGATCACATTATGTGCAGCGTTTACATCCCTAGCATATGTGTTGCCCTTGGTGTCAATATACGAAAATGTGTTATTGCTGGTCCCATTCCCAGCAACGATTTCCGAATTCAAGATGATGAGGTAACCCGCTAGAATACGGTTGAGTACATGTTCCCCGTAGAAAAAGATATTGTACCTGTCTGTTGGCGCTCACTGATGTCGGATCCCAAGATGAAAGGTGCAGGGACAAGCTGACGGTTATACGAGTGATCGAATGTGGTATAATCTGAAGCACAAATTGGTCAGTCATGCAATGCAGGTTGTACCAAGCGAAACTTGCATATCTCGGTATCATTATCAACCAGGCTTGTGGTGTTGATGTACAGGGGGTAATCAAAGTTATCGGTAAGAACTGAGACTCCGTTATGAGTCGAGATGACTGAGCCGGAGGATATCTGTGCGACGTTCTGCAACGAATGTATTGAGTAATGAGCGAATCACGGGGGACAATGGTGGGTCTCAACCTGGGTATTGGAATCATTGAGATAATATTGCGTGTTTGTAAAGTCCATGCTCTGTTGGAAAACGACATTGTTTGTCGTCCCACTACCGCTAACAATGGTAGACTCAATTTTGAGGGAGCGCTGAGCCTTGACCGTGATATTGACATCTGTGCCACCGATGCTCGCTGTTGTCTCCGTTATTGCATAGGGTTGAACATCATATGTCGTGATGCTGCCTGTCGTTCGTTTGCCCGACGGGTCCGTGACAACCTGTAAGAGTCCAGAAACGTACCAATTCTGGTTGAGAGTGTGGTTTGTTTCAGCGGAGGCGACGTCCAAAGTCACATTATGGGGAAGGCCGTCGGCGAACACCGGCGCAAATGGTGTGAGATCAAGGAAGTAGGTGGGAAGATCAATTGCACCATATGATGTGATGGGCCTGTGAACCACATGATTGATAGAAAAAAAACTAGGAAAGCAGAGGATCATACCTCCAGACCACGGGGTTTATGCCGCCTGTGAAAATGACAGCATATGGAAAGGCCACACCAGCAACTTGACCATCCACGAGGAGCCGAACCTCGCGGAAAGGGCCTCCACCGAATGTTGTGCCAGGTGGAAGATATCCGAAGTATTCATCGGCTGCGTTGAAGTACTTGAGAGAAGAATCAATCGGTGATTCGGCTTCCTCTACGCAACAAACCGTCTCACCCAGAATTCCTCGTCTCCATTGCCGGACGCATAGAGCTCGGCATAAATCTCAACAGTGTTTTGCGGGAGCGTTACGTTGAGCTGAAAAGGTTTACTTAATGCTCATAATACAAAAGGGAAAGCGCACAGAAAATGCTGGTGGGACTGAAGCCTCGTTGCCAGTGTTGTTTAGCATCGTCGATATCGGCACAATCATGTTGGATTGTCCAGCAGTAGGATATTCACCAGACGATGCATAGAACGTTGCATAAAGTGTAGCTAATACGTGAATTAGCACGACCTCGTCTAGAACGAAACGAAACATGCGCACTCGCATATTGCCCAGTATCAGCAGACGTGACGATGTTATCAATCTCGAGAATGAAAGTTCCGGATTTATTGAACAAGGGAATGTAGCGAGTAACGTCTTTCGTGTAAGTCCAAATGATACCGTCTGTGGTCGGCTCTGGAGTCGAAGTGCGCCAGACTACAATGTTCAATATCAGTCTTCGTCATCTAATGCATGACCGTCAAAGAGAACTTACTTTCCGTGTTTTGAAACGTGAAGATTCCAAGGCGGTCATACTGGGTCCCGTTTGATGTCACTGTAAAGTTGAGTGTTACTGCTGCCCAGGAACCGACCGCCCCACAATCTGTTGGCGGACTGTATGGAGTGAGATGAAATTCAACATAGAAAAACATAAGTAGGACACCTACCTGTACTCGACGATCTCTGGACTGAAGTAGAAGGTCAGTTCAACTTGGAATTCCCACTAGTCGTAGACTAACTGACTCTCCGTATGAGTTCCCAAATGTACGCCTAGGAAGTCGTAGCTATTAGAACTTGAAACATTTCAAAATGGGTTGTTTACCCACTCCAGAATCATCATCGTGCATTGTTGCCCGCTGTTTGGAGCTGGAGGCGGTTCAGCGACTTGAAAATCGACAAGCACCTGAGCACTGGAGAGTGTGGCAAGCAATACACCTGCCAGTGGTGCGAATGCTCTCATCCTCGACAGGCAGCTAGTGTCCACTAGCAGTGGGAAGTAAACACGCAGAAGGACCGAAATTTATCCTGTTACCCAGCAACATTGAATTTGTTTGCAGGTTCATATTCCCCAGCCATGTTGATATGGGCCGCCGATTGGATCATGACAAACTTAGCGACTCGGGGCAGTGGGCTACATTTGTGTAACCACTGGCGCGTGGACGTGTAGCGCTAGTGCCATTAATTCCCAAATCTCGGACTTAATTGCACCCAGTTTGTACTATAAGCCTCTTAAGCGATACAGCCAGCAAATTCGAGGACCCCGATGCGAGAGCATGGGCCCATGGATCCACGAGGCAAATATGCCCAAACACGATCCTCGAACTGGTTGCTCCTCTTGCAGAGTCACACTGTAAATTTTCAGGGTAACAGATCTCTGTATCATAGTGCTACTGATACACCGGTTTCCACCCCCAACTTCATCTGATCTCAGTTACTGTATTTATTGTGCAGCTCTGAAATATAAGATCCTAATTCATTGGTGAGTCAAACAACTACATCAACAAAAGCGACAAAATCATTAATGGCCAAATATACTAATTTACCTATTCTATTCCAATGCCAACCTGCTATGGACATCATTGTATGTGCATCAATTCAGGGTGAAATAATTTGAGGTGTTTGTATAACTCTACCAGCCTGGCAAGCATCTTCATCAGTAAAATACCACATTTCTTAAATTAACTTAATGAGCTTAAATTTGTGGCCAAGTCAAAATAAGTCAGTCTTTTTCAAAGACCTTCATCTTAACAAAAGTTTCTTGTCTTACATCGACACATGACTTAATAGCACTTGAATTTATACAGTAAGACAAATTAAGAACTAAGTTTGCAAAGCAAATAAGATGCAATCAGAGAGTCAAGACGGATGATAAAAAATCAAATAGGAGACGGGGAGCATGCCAGTGGGTAGTAAGTAGAGTGCGGAATGAAAGCATAGAAACGTGTATATAACCAGCGCCAAACAACGTCACCTTCAACGGAATGCAAATAGGTCAGCGAACACGTCATCCTCGTCAGGCGCGTCACTGGTGGTAGTCCTCGAGTTCCCGATACTTTTTGCGTGCTTGGCATACTGTTGTGCCTCCGCAATAATGCTCGCAAAGGCATCGTCGGAAAGCGCCAAGATGGGGCCCATGAGTTTGATGGTCATGTGCCCCCAGATAGGTTTGCTGAAAGCAAACTGCTCGCCCTTCGTGATGATGGGGGTCCAGATATCGCCGCCATCGGTCTTCGCACCTTTGCGTTTGCCACGGGATTCTTGAACAACTTGGAAAGCAAGGTTCCCATCAATGATGAGCTGAAGAGTACGATAAACCTGAAAATATTATTTTTAGACAACGAACGGCAGAAATCAAACGACTTACAGCAGTAACGGCGAGGGCAAATGCAGCCCGCACACTAATGCTCTCGGTGTCAAGGTCGGGGACTTCAACACGGCCGAAGGTGAAATTGAGGTGTGATGTGAATGTCTGAAGTACGAAGGGGGATCTCCACATACCCGTCCAGTCCTTTGAACAGATAATTAGATGGTTTCATAGTAATCATTATAGCCACTTACCTTGGGAACGAGTCCTGAATTGTCCCTGAAAATGAACCGGTTATGCTTCAGCATGGCCCTTGAAAAGTCCTCGCGAGCCGCAGGATCCAAAAAATCAGTGTCCTGTGCAAAAAATGCAGTGAGGATGGAGCAAGCTGCGATACTGAACCCTCCACGCCATTCCATAAGGCGTTGTTTGGCCTACAAATGTTGGTTAACTTCTGAATGACCCAAAAACAACTATGGACTTACCACTTTTAAAACGGCACCAGATCTGGAGATCTCGTGCCGAATCTTACCCCGGTATATGTAGTTCCATATCTCCTGCATGGCGTCCCTTAAATCTTCATCTTCAGGACCCCAAGGCTCAACTTCTCCACCAGCCCAGTGTGCGACAGTTGGTATGAACACCCAGCGCCAGGTATTACCATCCTGGCATCCCTCAGGAAGGTCATCGTTCTGGTACCGGTGATTGGCGCCACTGCCATCGCGGCGTGATGTGATACTCTTGCTCTGCGGCTCTGTCTTTGCTCGTTTCGAAGGGGGGGGCTGGCTATTGATGCTGACACCGGTCTATGTTTAGCGGAGAGAAAATGAGAAGGGTATCACAAAATAAGTACCGGCTCACTGAAGTTGTCAGGCGTTTGGTGCCTTTTGCTGACACAGGGGCAGGAGACGGTGATGTGTCCTCGCTCTCGCCAAAGTCGATGTCCATTGACAAGTCAGTAACGGGCTCAGTCGGGATGAACCTGGCGGTGGCTCTGGATGGTTGCGTAGAAGGGGGAGCACGAGGAGGGGGGGAGGATAAGGACTCGGTCCTTGCCATTATTGGTGAGCGTTTCTTTGGTCGCGATGGAGGCGGTGATAAACTGTTATCACTGACTTCCAATATATCCTGAGTGGGGAGTGAGTGCGATGAAAATGTACGAAAAATGAAAGAAATACCACAGAAGTTGTATGCCTGCCACCAGGCTTTTTGGTAGCCTTGAAAGCAGCCTCACGCTCAAGTGAATCGTCCTCGTCCAGAAACGCTGTGGTAGGTTCTTCAAGATTGCCTTGAACGTTGTTTGTGGGGTGCGGGCTGCCAGTGGGATTAGCGCTGGCGCTAGTCACTTTCGAGATCTTTGAAACGGCAGTCGAGGTGGTGATTGAGGACACCCATCTGTGTGATTCAGTGCGAAGGCTTTCAAGTTGAGGGCGGAGCAACTTGCTTGTTGCAAGTTTCTCAGCCCAGTCCTTTGTTTTCCCCATCCCCGCATAGTCGTCCTTGGCTGCGCAGACATCCGCACTGAATCGATTGAGGTGATCGAGATGAAAAAGAGTCGTTTCGGTGAGTAACAACATGGCAGATGGGAACAATAATTGACTTACACTCCTTTCTTGCCTTTCTGGTCACCACGTGCCGTTGTGTGATCAGCATCTGATACGACATTCTGATTCTGATTGTGACTCGTGTCAAATTTGACGCCTGTATTATTAACACTTCGCTCAGCATGGACAGCCTCACGATATGCTGTCTTCTGTACACGTTTGTTCCTCGGCTGCACCTCTGCACTTTCCTCCTCACTGGATACAACATAGTCAGTCTCTGTGTATGGCGAGTCTTCAGGAACCTTACCTTGGTTGAAAGTCCTTATCGCTATCGATATCGTTATCGCCTGCAGCAACATCCTCCATTTCGACATCCCCCATCTCAGCTGCTTCTACAATCTCCTCGTCATCCTCAATGTTCGGCTGGCTCACCTTTGACTTCGACACAGGATGCACCCGAGGCCGAGGCTTTGGCGCATGCAAAAGGATCTTCAAGTCCTTCAACGCCTTCTTGTCTTCAATAGACGCAATCTTCTCGGTGGTGCGTTTATCAGCAGCTTCTTTCTCCTGCCGCTCATGCTCGGCTCGGTCGTTGTCTTCCTGGATTTGACTGAGCAGTGCGCCTTTTCCTCTTGTTTTGGAGGAGGATCTCACCAGGATGCTGGTTCGCATTTTTAGGACGAGTGTTTGGGCGCACCATTGTTTGAACGGTCGGGCTTGTGGAGGAGAAAATTTGGTGTAAGGTTGAGCGGTCACTATGGACTTTGAAACTCTAAGTTACGTGTCGCGCACCCTGTTTTGTATGTATTACATTACATTCTCCCTAGTGTGTTTGCTAATGGTTTGCGCTTTTCAGTTAGCCTCCCATCCATCATGCCAGACGAGATCCCTCATGCGCAGCTCAAATGACGGGCATTTAGCGCCCGCCGCATCCAGTGTCCCTACCCAGGCTGCAAACACTGGTTGAAAAATTCCTCTGGGCTGAAACTTCATCAAAGCTCGGCCCATAGCCACTCGTTTACCCATCCTGGATCGCAACGCACACAACGCGCCTCTGTTGAAGAAATTGAAGATGAAGAAGCTCCCAGACGCACCAACAATGAGCTCTGGGAGTCAAAGCATGGACTTATTCGTGATTATCACGAGACGCTGACTGGTAAGTCAATAGTTGTGCTGTGATGCCGGCTTGTATCTGATTAAAACCTATACCCACAGGTCGTATTTGTGACGAGAATGGCCACTTTGTTGATCCTGGCACTCCTCCTCCACCATACACAGCAAAAAGTCCTGACGACTGGACTCCGTATCGCAACCGACTGGAATTCGAGTGCGCAGATTTCATGTACACTGAAAACCAGATGTCCGCTGGTGATATCAACAAGATTCTCTACTTGTGGGGAATCACTCTCGCTGTCCATCGCGACAATCCACCATTTGCCGACTACAAGGACCTGTACAATACTATCGACGCAACACCGCTAGGCGATGTCACATGGGAAAGCTTCTCCCTGAAGTACAATGGCGATAAACCTGCTGGAGAGTGTCCGCTTTGGATGGAACAGTCGCACGAGGTTTGGTTTCGGGACCCTCATACCGTCGTCAAGAACATGCTCGCAAATCCAGATTTCAAAGGTGGAATTGATTATACGCCCTACCGTGAATTTCAGGAGAAGGATGAGCAACGACGCTATAAGGATTTCATGTCGGGGGACTGGGCCTGGCAGCAAGCGGTACATATTTTGTGTCTGTTAGTATATTCTCGTATTGATGTCAGGTACAGGACGAAATCGCACAGGACCCACAAACGCATGGTGCGGCTTTCGTTCCCATCATTGTAGGCAGCGACAAGACGACGGTGTCTGTCGCTACTGGTCAAAACGACTACTACCCTCTATATCTCTCGATTGGGAACGTTCACAATAATGTCCGGCGCGCGCATCGCAATGCATTGGTTCTGGTTGGATTTTTGGCGATCCCTAAGAGTATGTACCTGATTCTCTCCTAATCTACTTTGAAGCTTACACTGTTGTATGCAGCGGAAAAAAAAAATGCAGATGAACTTGGATACCGCAAGTTCAAGAAGCAATTGTTTCACTCCTCGTTGTCGAGGATCTTCGCCAATCTCAAACCTGGAATGACGACTCCAGAAGTCACACGGTGTGGCGACGGACACTACCGGCGCGTTATATATGGCCTTGGACCCTACATTGCAGACTATGAAGAGCAGGTAGTATTGGCATGCATGGTCAAAGATTGGTGTGGAAGGTAAGTGGCTACCAGAGATCCTCGGGACACTGCCTGTTTGTGTCCGCCTTCATGACCCCTAAGAGGCAGCAGAAATCCTCAGGACACCGCCTGTTTGTGCGCACGGTGTTGTCGAAGTTTCGCGCGCGGTGTTGTCGAAGTTTCTGCCGTATATGACCCCCCCCCTCCCTAGTTCTCTCTGATTTCGCCTATCCAGAGATCCTCGGGACACCGCCTGTTTGTGTCCGCCTTCATGACCCTCAAGGGGCAGTAGGGATCATTGGGACACCGCCTGTTTGTGCGCGCGGTGTTGTCGAAGTTTCACGCGCGGTGTTATCGAAGTTTCACGCGTGGATGACCCTCAAGGGGCAGTAGGGATCATTGTGACACCGCCTGTTTGTGCGCGCGGTGTTGTCGAAGTTTCGCGCACGGTGTTGTTGAAGTTTCTGCCATGTATGCCCCCCCCTCCCTAGTTCTCTCTGATTTTATGCAAAGTCTCATTTATATTCGCAGATGCCTTGCATTTCCCTCAAATCTTGATGAAGGAGGTGTTTCTCGGTCACGCGAACATACTGATGCGCTTGTGGATTCTGTTGATTTTGGTATACTTTGGGATGAGTATGGTATCATTGGCGAGTTAGTGGTATGTTTCCCCCCATATCATTTGTGCATTGTTGAACTAACAGTTGCACTCCATAGCCCTTCACCAACGACTTTCCTCGTGCCGACATTCACGAGCTCCTTGCCCCCGACATACTGCACCAGCTCATCAAAGGAACCTTCAAGGACCACCTTGTTGAATGGGTGGGTCAATACCTCGAACTCATGCACGGCAAAACACGCGCTAAGGCAATTTTAGATGATATTGACCGAAGGTATTTTCAATCTGCCGCTGCCTGTTGTGATTACTGACAATACACTAGAATTGCTTCCGCGCCGCCCTTCCCTGGCCTACGACGCTTTCCACAAGGCCGTGGATTCTCGCAATGGACAGGTGACGACTCCAAAGCTTTGATGAAGGTACATTTTCATTCACTATCTCGCGTTTATCACATTTACACAGCTGTTATCTAGGTCTATCTACCAGCAATCGAGGGCCACGTACCAGATGATATGGTTCAGGGCATTTCGAGCCTTGCTAGAGTTCTGCTACATCGTGCGCGCGAACGTAGTGACAGACGACACTCTCGCAGCGCTGAAAGATGCCCTTGGGCGTTTTCATACTTACCGGACTATTTTCCAGACTACTGGTGTCCGCTTCGACATTTCCCTACCCCGACAACACTCTCTCATCCACTACGAGCTTCTCATCCGAATGTTCGGTGCTCCGAACGGCCTCTGCTCGTCAATCACGGAATCCAAACATATCAAGGCGGTAAAGCAACCATGGCGACGTTCAAGCAAGTACAACGCGCTCAGCCAGATGCTCCTTACCAATCAGTGCCTGGACAAAGTCGCCGCAGCAAGAGTTGATTTCACAACGCGCGGCATGCTCAAAGGGTCTTGTGCCTTCAGCTACTACAATTCATCTGGTACGTGGTCTGTTTTATTTTAATTGCATTTTACTCACTGAATTTCTAGTTGAGAATCCCTTATATATCGACAACGACGATGGAGACCCAGAGGTCCAACAGAACCCAGCGCATGCAGGAAGCAATCCCTTTGCTATCGAGAGTGACGACTTTGACGATGTCGAGGATCAGGGTGTTGTAGATGACGTGGATGTCATTGCTGATGTGCAATTAGCACGGACTTTTCGTGCGTATCCAACCCTCTACTCACTGTGACCTTCGTTCGTAACACACCGTTCAGAATGAAAACGCGCCCGTACTGTTGCTGATCTCGCAGACGAACTCGACATCCCATCGTTCCCGACCCTCATTCGCCTCTTCCTGTACGACCAAATACACGCGGACAACCACCATTCCTCTGCCGACGTCCCACTTCGCGACTGTCCATCCTACACGGGACCAATCAAGATATTTCATTCAGCCGCTGCAACATTTATCGCACCCAGTGATCCGAGTGGAATCCCTGGTATGCGCCGTGAGCACATTCGTGTTGTGCCTTCGTGGCGCAAGGGACCAGCTCGCTTTGACTGCGCCTTTGTCAACACGGACGATAGGCATGACAGAATGTTGAGCATGGACGTCGTTCGAATATTCTGTTTTTTTTCTTTTACTTTCACTAACAGTCACACATACCCATGTGCCCTCGTTCAATGGTTCCATCGCATCGCCGAGGAACGAGACGAGCTCACAGGAATGTGGATGGTGGCACCGTCTTTCAATGAAGATGGCTCGCGCGATTTGTCCATCATCCATATCGACAGTATCATTCGCGGCGCTCACTTACTCCCAATATTCGGTACTCAGCTCGTACCACGCGGCCTTTGATTCTACGATTCTCTGGATGTATATCGAGGATTCTACGTAAATCGGTTCATTGATCACCATGCTTTCGCGCTGGCATCTTAATATACTCATTTTTCTTGCAATGCTTAAGTTCAAAATTTGTCTTAAAAATACTTTAATTGTCTGAGTGTCTTTGTCGGCTTGATGGTAAGACACTCAAGTTGCCATCCAAGTCAAATCGAAGCCTTGAACATCTTGACGCACTTGGGCGCCAAACCAAGTCAAATAAGTTCGAATTAAGTTAATTTAAGAAACGTGGTATTTTACTGATGCTTGTATGTATATTCATTTAGCATAAAATAATTCAAGCCATTTGCATGATGCTGCCAGCCTGAGATACACTTTGAGCCCCTTCAGTGAACTAACCTGTCTCAGATGGGCCATCCCACATGGGCCCATGGCTGAAATTGTACCTATATATACGGGTGGGCCAAGTGTAGTGTGTAGCCAATTGAAAGGGATGGGCCGAGTGAATGGAGTATACAATGGAGATGAGTGGGCCGAGGTATTATTAGGTACAATAGATGGATGGGCCAAAATATAGTCAGCTGGAAAAAGAGGTGCCATGTTATGACTTGGATAGTATCTGTTGGTGACGCTCAAATAGAGCGTGTGTCGTCAATGGTTGAGGACGTCCTTGGGCTAGCCCAAGGTTAGGGGTCTTACTTGGCAAGGCTTTGGCAAGTAGTGCTGCCGTGGTCCGGTTCGGTCCGGTTCAGAGGGTCTTCAACAAGAACCGAGAACCGGACCAATGGTTTGGTTTGGCGAAATTGTCGAACCCAGAACTGGACCATTGAGAACCATTCTCAACAGTCCGGTTTGGTTTTTTTTGTGGTCCGAACTCAAACCGAACCATAAATTTTTCTATAGGGACAGCAAAAAATAATTGACGAAATACTAGCTACACATTGAGTAACTAGTCTAATAAAATTTGTGCATACCCCTCTGCCTCTGTAGCTGCTGAAAGATGTCCATTACGGTAAGCGGCCTTCATTAACTGTAGAGCAGAGAAGGTGGATGATCCAAGAGCATTGCGGCGCAAGGTTGATGTGATTCCCCCGCTAGAGAATGTGCGTTCAGAGGGAACCGCACTACCTTGAATCGGTAGATAATCGTGGGCAATACTAGTGAGTGTCGGATATTGTAGCGAGTGTAGCTAATGAATAATGTCAGTTGAGAATGTGTGAATAAAAAAACAACTTACCCCCCACCATGCGATGACATCATCTGTCTCTTCTAACGGCGAAGTAAGATATGAGGTGAGTTCGTGATGGGGGTCGCATACCTGTAATTTGTGGGTGGGCGACGGCAAGATGGAGCTGAGTGATGGTTCAGTCTGGATGATTGGTGGGACGCAAATCAAAGGTGCCTTGAAAAAGAGAGATAGAAAGTCATGTGAGAAATTGATTGATTAGTACTTACCTTGAAAAGGCTGAAGGTAGCCTGATTAACCAATAGTGCAAATCCCGAAGACAGCAGTTTGATGTGGAGACCGACTTTGTCGCAGTCGCAGTTGAAGTCGAAGTCGATAATGGTTTGGAATGGTTCGGCAAGGCCGAACCAGAATGGGACCATTCGGGAAGACCTAGAACCGAGAACTGTTTTCCGGTCTGGTTCTGGCTGATGTGAGAACCATGGACCAAACCACGGAGAACCGGACCAAAAGTCCGATTTGAACCATGGTTCTGGACTGGACCACGGCAGCACTATTGGCAAGTAAGATTTAATGCCTATGTCCAAATCGGGTAGCTTATGTCAAGCGGGGCTCGACGATAAGTGTATCTGCCAAGGCTTATGACACCCGAAGGTTAATCGTAAGATCTGCGTTAATAGAAGGACAGAAGTCCGACTAATAACAGGGGCTTTGCTCAACGACGAAGTTGGTGAGTAAAGATTGAGACTACTATCTCTTGCCCAGAGTTGCAAAACTTTTGACTCGTTTTTTATAACACAACAACTACACAACATTAGAGTAAGGAAAAAACATGAGCAGGTATGGTTCAGTACATACTGTAAGGCTATGTGAAAACAAATAGAGAAATATGTCGAGGCTACATTGCCAGAGAGAAGCTGGTGCAAAACAGTGTTTGAGCACAGAGTTGCAAAATTTCTCACCACACAAAAGTCCTCGCGTCACACCATGTCACACCGCCGTTTTGACTCTCCGACGCCATCAAGCGCAATTGATGAGTGCTGTTCAAGGATTCCAAAGGTTTCGCGCAGCGCTGAGACTTGGATTTTAAGTACGTGTATATACTGTAAGGTCTTATATAGATAGGTATAATATATGAATATGGTGCAGGAATGATTATAGAGGGAATGACTGGTGTTGACTACAGTACGCGCATACCTTTTTCAGCATGTCAAACACATTCAACACAAATAGGCTACTGTAACTTCAAAACTCCATTGTTTTTAATGTAAAGTAGTGTAATAGACTCAGTTTCATATGTAGAACATGACCTGCTGAACAAATAGACACAATTCTGAAGTTTGAATTTTTCGTCATCAAAAATTGAAACATGCCTTCAAAAACTGCATTTTAGCGCTGATAGAGGCCTGTAGGGCCTTCGGGTGAGTGTAAACAGTATTTTGAGGGATGTATGAAGGCTCTATGAGGTATCTAAGACTCCATCAATGCAATTATTTCATTCGGGAGTCCTACACGACGGTGAGACTTGTATTTGTGCACCGCGAAGGCTGTTTGACGTGAATCAAGTCCTTTTCTGTGACACGTAGCGTGGCGAAGAGTAAAATCAGAAAATTGAACAGGATCGGATACAGGGCAACGGAAAACTCACCGATATGCATCCATATAGCGCCACATTTTACGAAAAAACCGACGGATAGTCAAGGTCTCACACATATCAAGACACTGTGGAACCAGGACTTTCGCAGTCGTGAATTTTCCGTCTGATGCTTTGCAATAACCTGAATGGTCCGTGGGTTAGTGTGATATGAATATGAAGAAAAACAACAATTAAACTCACGGTAAGAACATACAAACATGCCCACAGCTCTTGATATAATGTTGTATCATCGGCTTTTCGGTGGCAAAGTCCTCTTGCAATGACAGCGCACAATACATACAGCACCACTCACTTTCTGGTGCTGTCTCGACCTCCTCGGCTTGGGATATGTCATTATCTGACAATGTGTCTTCTTGCCCCATTGCCTCAGCCGCAGCAACTCGCCTCTCAGCATCTTTCTTCACCTGTGATGTCTGGCAGCTCCTGCACTTTCCCACAACTTTTCCGTGACATTGCAAGCTCAACTCCTGCCAAACAGATTCGCGCTCTTGAAGTACCGCCTTCATACCTTTTGGTTTTCCTCGCAATTGAAGATCAGGGTGGGTGTCAGGTACACCAACTGTTGAGGCATCCCTCGTGTATCGAGCTGGCCTGGTTTCGGAGGTGGATTGGTAAGGGGGATGATTGTGTCTCACATCACCCGCTGTTTTCCACCCGGGTTAACATTCATATTGTTGACATTGAGTGCATCAACCGCAAGACCTTCGTGTGCGGAGGAGCAATCAAAAAGCCAGATACCGACTTTCTCAGGATGTAGGTACTCGAAAATATCAACTGCAACTTTCGTCTGGTCCATGAGTTGGGCAAGGTCCCACCACGCATCGTGATTTTTACCAGGATATATGATTTTGCGAGCATCCATTGCTTTGAGTCGAGCTTCTGGAAGCAATTGCAGTTGTTGTGCAATCTGTTCTTGCGAGAGCATGAGCCGACCTGTTGGTTCATAGATCTAGTCTGATATGTGAATTCCTTGGCCATTCCCTTTTGTCTTTAATGGTTGCTGGTTGTCTTTCAACCACACCCGACGGGCGTGATCATTGGTGCTGACAGTGCACTCATCGTGTGCGAGAAGTATGTATTCTTTCTCTCCTGGCCTCAGGATCAGTGGAATCGGCTCCAGAGTTTCATCGTCATATTTGCACATAAAACTTTACTGTGGTGTGAATAAGTATTGATGTGCGGAAACCTGCGGAAACTCACCGTTCATATTCTTCCATCTGATCCAGGAACTTTTTGCGTGCCTCGATGACATCAGGGTGTTCGTGACCATCATGGTAAACCCCCTTCTTGACATCTTTACAGCTATAACCGAGTTTCTTCAACCAATTGATAGCTGTCCATTCACAAATACAGCTCTTTTTCTCAGATAAATCCAAGGCCGGAAGAATGACCTTGTTGACATGACAGCAGAATTCTCGAGGGGTGATGGTGCCCAGGCTCTGAGCAGCCAAGTATCTTCGAACACCATGCAGGACTGATTCATTTTCCAGGAGTGTATATGGCCATGTTTGGCACCTTTTTTTGTGAGCGGGAGACGACGATGGCACAAGAGATAGTTTTCATGGTGACGGATCTGACGTGCAAAGTATGCACCATCTGCTTTTCCCATCCGACGTGCAATAGCCAGACTGGCATTGAGACAGGGCCACTTGCAATTTAGATTGCGGCAGAATCTCTCCCGGAGCTGCACATATTGGGTAACTGCAGTAAGATGCATCACCATCTTGACTCTTCATGCTGCTGGCATATCTAACTTTTTAAGATCTTCCAGACACGATTTTACGATCTGGAAGATGTCGGGAGCAGGCTCGTCCTCGTCCTCGTCTATAAGCTCTCATGCAGCAGTGATTTCAGGTGCTTCAGTGACTTGTGCTTCTGAATTGATGACTGATTCGGACTCGTCATGGTCCAATTCTTCTTCTCCATCATTGTGAGCAACTTGAAGGTTTGTGGGGTTTGTACTGTACAGGACATACCCAGAAATCATCGTTTGTCTCATTGTCGGGCATATGAAGCTGGGGCTCTCCAATGGACAATTCATTCTCAAGCTGCTCCATACAAAAGACATCAAATTCAAGACCCATCTCGATGTCAAGGCAAGTCCAAAATCTTCCTCCAATGTTTCATCCATCATCTCATTCTCGGACATGAGTTGTAAATCCAGGGATGGTGTGCGGGTCCGTTTTTTCTGCATGTCACTTAGTTTCCTATCTATTTGGTGAGTTTTGAAGTTGATGACTCATGGAAAAGAACGAGTCCAGTTTCTGACATCCTTTTGATGCCCCTTTCCAATAGTTCTTCTTCCGCCAGTTACTTGTACTGAGAGTCCTTCTGATAAATAACACTTCGGTGGGACCCTGTCGTTTTTTGGCCTGCGGCACGTTGTGTTGCTTTAGACGTAGTGGCAAAAAGACAGCATAAAGTTTTTGCAAGGACACGATGTTTCTGGTGATTCATCTCATTCTTCTGCATCAGATTCTGCAGCTGACCAGACTTCTTCTTCGCCTGAATCATACATTGATTCACCAGAATCGGAGACAGCCTTCGCAGGTAGAAACATTGACTGGCCAGCCCTGTCGCTTCGCTCTGGCTTGTGCTGGCAGCTTTGTTGGGGCGTGGCATAACTGTCGTGTATGGGGCAAATGGGACTAACAGGCAAACAAAAAAAAATTAAATCGGTCCACATTTTGAAACATGGGCGCTTAATTCGAAAACTGTTAGACTACGTGGCTTTTTAACCTAGTAAGTATTTGGGAAATATCTGACGGGGCTCTGAAGTTCAAAAAAATGTGGTGCGGAGGAGTCGAAAAGTGTTGCGCGTACTGTAGCAGTAGTCGAGGTAAGCTGAAAAGTAGCCACCAGTTTGAGAACCGGATGGTACATTACTGTGCAAGTATGAATGTAATAGAGGATTATATGCGCCGCTCGTGTTGCTGGTATTGTATGCAGATGAGTGGGAATGTGGAGGAAAGGTATTGTGCAGCGAAGAAGTGGCTAAAATGGGTCCTGAAGTGGGGAGGGAATGCTTGAGAGAATATTGCGGGAAGATGAAGCAACCAGCACTCCGTAAGATGGTCCAACATGCGATGAAGTAATGGCAGAATTGGAAGGAGTGATCTCAAGAACAAGGACACATGGCAGGGGGGACATTCTGATCATTTTCGTCAGAAGGACCTTCATTATAAGGTCTGTTTTTGTCCAGTGCGAGAGCAGCCAGTGAAAAGGCCTGCAAAACGATCATTATTCTTGAGTTCTGGATGTGACTCAAAGTATTCTTTGATGGCTTTCAAGAGCTCCAGGTTTGGTCCCCGCACTGGAAATTTGGAGGGCACCTGCAATATCAATAAGATCATCCTTGTTCTTGGTGGAAAAAGAGCCCGTAAAACAAGTGCTAGTGCCCTGCGCTGCCTGTCATGCTGCCCACACTGCCTTCCTGGCTGCTGCACGTTCCTTCGCTTCCTCCTTCTTCTTCAGGGGCTGTCTCTTTTGCCGTCTCCTGCTCCTCACATTCTTTGAGTCCTTGAGCTGATGTTAACCAGCATGTGTTGATATTGAGAGCTCGAGTCTTTTTCTTTCCAGCACGTGAATGTAATTTTTTCTTCATAGTGTCGACCTCGCTTAACACCATTGTGCAATGTGCTTCTGCAGCGCAGACCTGTGATTCTGCAGCATGAACCCGCGATTCTAGCTCCCTCACTTGGTCTTGAAGAATGGAGATGTCAGAGTCTTGAGACATATTGCGCTGATTGCAGCTGTGTAGCGGCCATTGTAGGCAAGAGTTTGATGGAGTGTCAAGGGAAGGGGTAGATATAGTATGTTGTGTGGGTAGCACAAAGGAGGTGCCAGTCAAGTTGACCAGAGGAAAGTTGCTGTCAGATGCCTCGTCCTCGCTCTCATCATCTGTACTGTCGGACTCATCGTCATCACTACTAGTACTTGAGTCCGTACTCGAGTTGCTGTCTGATTCACTGTCTGAGTCATCCTGCAGTGAATCAGCATCCATGTTTGGAGGATGAGCTGGAAGCTGGCTTCACTGTATGGGGTAGGAGGCAGGGACACTGGCTTCAGTGGATGTAGCCATGCTTGGGGCAAAATCTCGATCAGTGAAAATGCTGGGATTAAACGGCCGAATTCCGCTGTTCTTCCACACCTTCGAAATGATCTCTGTTGTGAACACCTTCTCACGTGCTGCCATATACTCATTGACAAAATCAGCACGAGCCATCTCTTCACCAGTTTGATCCAGCACATCCTCACAGTGTTTGTACCACACACATTAGAGGGGGCCAAAAACACCGACATCCAATGGTTGCAGCTCATGAGTGGTGTGCGGGGGGAAGACAGAACAGCTCAATGTTGTGCTCAATTGCCAGACATCGCATCTCTGGTGTGACGTGTGATCCATGACCATTGTAGATAAGGAGTATTGGTTTACCCAAGGTGTTGCGAGTGGTGGCTTGTGGGATAAAGCATTCTTCGAACAACTTCGTGCATATGAAGTCATTGGTCCAGCCCATTGGGTGAAGTTGTCACACTAAAAATATCAAGTTAATCTCTAATCTTCGGACTTCGCATATATGTTGACTGACCAGATATCTTTATGTGCACTGAACCACTTCTTGTGATAGGACTTTCCCGCAAAAACAAAGCCTGGTGCAATGCTCGCACCATCTGCCGAAACACACTCAATGACTGTGACCAATTCCAAATTCCCGCTCCATATCTTATACTTCGGGTATTTACCACAAGGTACAAAGTACTTCTCTGGTGAAACCTTCCTTCCACCACCCTGCTGACACCCCTTTTCATCCATGTTATACATGTTTTCCCAGGGAATGTCCTTTTTGTCAAGAAGCTTCTTAAGAAGCTCAAAATGGTGATCAACAACAGTGCGGTTAAAGCTTTGACACTGTTTCAGGTCCAGAGCTGATGGCTTCCCCAAGCAGATATCCAGATGATGTTTGAGAAAGCCTCTGACCCACTTCTCGCAGGGCGTAGACTTGCCATGGCACAATGCAGCTGCCTTGCTTCAAATTGTGTGCTTGCTGAGTGGATGCCCCATGGAGCTGAGCAATTTAGTCCAGTCCACGAGTACAGTTTCTGATTCGGGTGAAAGGAGCTGCTGCCTGATATGAGCCTTGTGGTATGGCTGATTCTTGCCAAGATACCGTCGACGAAGGGTGTCATATGGGACTTTATGCTCTGTTGCAACAGCATGAATGTTAGGAGACAAAGAAGCATGTAGAACAGAGCAGGCATATTGAATTTTATCTTCAAGTTTTTGAGAAAACCGGGAGGGTAACTTCCTCTTGGGCATATGACCGGCTCCACAAGACTGACAGTTTAACTTTGCAGAATTGTGCAAGTTTTGGCCGAGTTGCCGAGCAGCGATTTGTGACTCCGAACACAATCTCACTCCTCTTGTCACAGATTGCATCTTGATGGTAGTACATTTGTGTCTCTTAACACTACTTAGTTATTGTGTCTGAAAAAATTAGAATGATATTAGAAGGCAATGGGAAACCACTAGTAAAATTCCCGAATTTTTTGGTGCATGTGGTGGTTTCACTCTGATGGATTGGCATGGAAAGTGCACATTCTGAGCAGTGTTTCGCTTGCCGCAAGCACTTCTCGTCTATTTTTCATAGAATAAAAAATACACACAGTTAGCTATGGATCAATCATCCTCTAGAATCATTGTGCTAAGGAAATAAGTGAAAGTTGAGTGTGCTACATTGTGATTTGCAACTCCAGGGCCATTTTGCAACTCTGGGCAAAAGATAGTAGAGACTTATCCGCAATGAGCAGATAAGAAAGTAGAGTATAGACAGCTGGCTAGGCTGAAGGGATTACTCTTGTTAGGAGTAGGAGGTCAAGAACCAAGTAGATTCAAGTTAAGGAACTAGATACATGGTAGCGAGTTATATAGAGGAGAGGACGTGTATTAGTGGATGATAACTTGTACTACCGGAAAGGAACTGGTCAAAGGGTGATACTAGAAAAGGAAGGCACATTCGAGGTGAGTCATAGGTGAACTGGAACATGCGGATAAGAAATGAGTCAAAGATCAGAAACAGGAAGTGAAACACGCAGGGGCACGATCGTGCAACTGTGGAGCTAAATATAAGTACAATTGTGTGACTGCACACCGAGTCATAGACCGAAAAAGGAAACAGGGTAAAGGGGATGCGGCATGCATTGTATCATAGGTTGCCGTCCGGATGGTAAGGGTAAAGGGGACTGTCCACAGGATCAGTCAGGGGGTGGAACAGAGCATGGGCATGCTTTGTCAGAGAAAGGGTCCGGCCAGATGTACTGGCTCTGCTGGAGCGACAGGTAGAGAGCGAAGGGGAATGCGAGGATGACAAGGATAACAAGAGCAAGGTCGGGGTAAGGGTGTAATGCAAGGGCAGAGATGAGGAGGATAAGGAGAAAAATGGTAGGGGCCCAAGTGTCTAGATGTTCTTGTAACATGCCAACCTGATCCAGTCATAGGTAGGCTTGTAGCACCAGACTATGGGATGCCACCAGTTGTCTCACTTTGTAAATCAGTCAATATTTGAGTGAGATATTTACACATTAATATCTGATGTTAGAATACCAGGTAGTAAAATACCGGCTGGAATACACCGGCCAACCTGATCCAGTCATATGTAGGCTTGTAGCACTAGATCATGGGATGCCACTGGTTGTCTCACTTTCACTTTGTAAATTGGTCAATATTTGAGTGAGATATTTGCACATTAATATTTGATGTTAAAATACTAGGTAGTGAAATAGCAGCTGGAATATACCAGCCAACTGGATCTGGTCATGGGTAGGCTTGTAGAACCAGATCATGGGATGCCACCGGTTGTCTCACTTTGTAAATCAGTCAACATTTGACTGAGAGATCTTCACTTCAATATTCTGTGTTACAATATCAGGTAGCAGAATACTGGCCAAGATATAAAAAAAAAGCTGACCTGATCTGGTCATAGGTAGGCCTGTAGCACCAGATCATGGGATGTCACCAGTTGTCTTACATTGTAAATCAGTCAATATTTGATTGAGATATTTGCATTTAATCCTAATGTGGGGGATACAACTATTACTAGTTTCTTACTTCAAGATGTAATGTTATAATACTGGGTAGTGGAATACCAGCTGAGATAAAAATAAGCCGACCTGATCCGGTCATAGGCAGGCCTGTAGAACTGGATCATGGGATGCCACCAGTTGTCTTACATTGTAAATCAGTCAATATTTGATGTTACAATACCAGATATTGTAATACTGGCTGAGATAAAAATAAGCCAACCTGATCTGGTCATAGGCAGGCCTGTAGCACCAAATTAGGGGATTCCACCAGTTGTCTTACATTTTGAATCAGTCAACATTTGATTGAAATATTTAAACATTGATATTTGATGTCACAATATCAGGTAGTGTAAAACTGGCTGAGACACAAAAGGCCAACCTGATCCAATCATATGCAGGCCTGTAGCACCGGATCATGGGATTCCACCAGTGGTCTCACCTTGTAAATCGGACAATTTTTGATTGAGATAATTACACATTAAGATTTGATGTTTGATCCAGTCATATGCAGGCTTGTAGCACCAGGTCATGGTATTCCACCGGTTGTCTTTGTGAATCGGTTGTAGCGATGGTCGCGGCGTTGGGCTCGAAACCACGTATTTTCATACTCACGTCAACACCCGAAACATATGCGCACATGTCCAAGCCACTCCATATTGGATCCGGCGCATCGGACCTTCGGACATCGCATCGGCCAATCACACTTCACATGCACTTGTCCATCCCGTGTCTTGTCCATCCGAAACTAGCCTCACTAGGTGTGTAGTTATTCCCATGCACATTTTCTGACATTCAGACCACATTATTACATGTCCGCACCACCTCATGTCTTATTACATGGGACATTGAACCCAAAATATATTGCTACTATCTTCGCCTGTAGTATTCTGGATTTCTATGTACTTACTTAAATACTCTGTAGTGACCCTGTAGCAATTATGATCCAGTAGTTAGGAGCCGTTTCCCAACTCTGCTGGATCACCCAGAATATTCTCATAGTTCTTAGTTGCATTGCTGAAATATTACCATTCATTCACTGTCATACTCCGTCACTCGTTATACTTGCGCATACTGCTTGCAATCCGACACTCATTATAAAGTTTCTGACCCATTATTGTGAAGTCCGAAAGTCCGAAATCTCGGACATCGCACTTTGGCTTCGGACATTGGATAAGTACCTTCAGGACATCATTTCGCAGCATCGGACATTTTGTTATTTGCATTACTGACACATTTTTACTACTAATACCAATTAGCAACCCCTATAGGATCGAACGCACTTGCTCTGCAAGTATAGCAGACTAGGCCTGTGCTAAAGATCTACCTAAATATTTGTTGTCTAGGTAGTACGATTTCTGCTGAGCCCAGCGGGAATCAGCTTTCTACATCGGTCAACATTTGATTAAGATATTTAAACATTAATATTTAATGTCACAATATCAGGTAGTGCAATACCAGCTGAGATATAAAAAAAAAGACTGACCTAAACTGGTCATAGGCAGCCTTTCTATGTGACAGATCAGTTAGATATAGCCTAAACATATGGAATACAACAGACAATAATATATTATACTGATAAGGGTCTACAGTCATTCTTTGATAACACCTAAGAAATTGGACTTAAAGATCACATACATACTGTATGCTGCGGTATGAATCTAAATTATCAAGAGGATTCATCCAAAAATGACTCAACAATGAGCAAAATGACATATCACAAGCGAGGGACAGTAAAAGTGACAAAGGTATCAAATTTGACATCTCGCTGATAAGCATCTGACACATTCCTGAAATTATATATTTCTAATCAGAGAAGTAGAACATGTTTCTAGTATACAGTCTTAGAAAATCTGAGATATTCATAATAATCGATCAATAATTAGAGGCAGAGTGATGAGAGTGAGATTTGTGGTACCAAAGTTCATCAGTAATGCACAACTGTCACTGCTTTAAGGCCAGCCACAAATGTATGCATGAATTATATTTCTGCTGCACTGTCTCTAATTGTTAATGGATCATGATAAATATCTTAGATCCTCTAAGACTGTGCATTAAAAACATGTTCCAGTTATCTGATTGGAAATATAGCACTTTTGTAATGTTTTAGTTGCTTATCAGTCATATGTCATGACTGCTGGGTATTGTTACATAGAAGATCGAGATACATTAATCTCAGCCAGTATTACACTACCTGATATTGGAACATATATTATCAATGTGTAAATATCTCAATCAAATGTTGACCAATTTACAATGTAAGACAACCAGTGGAATCCCATGATTCAGTTCTACAAGCCTGTCTATGACTGGATCAGGTTGGCTTTTGTTTTTTTATCTCAGCTGGTATTCTGCTACCCGGTATTGTAACACAAAATATTGAGGTGAAAATATCTCAGTCAAATGTTGACCAATTCACAATGTAAGAAGACCAGTGGAATCCCATGACCTGGTGCTACATGCCTGCCTATGACTGGATCAGGTCAACTTGTTGTATCTCAGCTGGTATTCCACTCCCTAATATTGGAACATCAAATCTTAATGTATAAATATCTTAATCAAATGTTGACCAGTTTACAATGTTAGACAGCCAGTGGAATCCCATGATCCAGTGCTACAAGCCTGCCTATAATCGGATCAGGTTGGCCTTTTGTGTCTCAGCCAGTTTTACACTACCTGATATTATGACATCATATATCAATGTTTCAATATTTCAATCAAATGTTGACTGATTCAAAATGTAAGACAACTGGTGGCATCCCATGATCTGATGCTACAGGCCTACCTATAACCAGATCAGGTCAGCTTTTTTATATATATCTCAGCTGGTATTCCACTACCCAGTATTGTAACATCAAATATTGAAGTGCAAATATCTCAGTCAAATGTTGATTGATTCACAAAGTGAGACAACCAGTGGCATCCCATGATCCGGTCCTACAGGCCTGCCTATGACCAGATCAGGTCAGCTTATTTTTATTTCAGCCAGTATTACAATACCTGGTATTGTAACATCAAATACAAATATTGATGGATTTACAATGTAAGACAACCAGTGGCATCCCATGATCCGGTTCTACAGGCCTGTCTATAACCAGATCAGGTTGGCTTATTTTTATCTCAGCCAGTATTACACTACCTGGTGTACTACTGTAGTATTTCGTTCAATTCAACAGTCATGTGTCACATACCCCCTTGTTGAAAATGAAATTTGGCACCTGTCATGGGTCACAAATACATTTGTTGAATCCATCGAGAGTGACAGTGGAAGCAATGTTCGAACACTGAGTATGTGTCCGGTAGTTCCTATAGATAAGTAAGTACTTACTCCTAATACAAGCATCCATATCAACTGTCGTCGTCGTGGCGCCAAAATGAATGTCCATACAGCATATTTGGTCAAAAATTTAGGATGTGTCACAGGTCACAGATGGATCTGTCGAAATGTCGAAAGCACCCAATATGTCTGTCACAGTCACAAGGGTGTGTCAAATTGATCAAAATACTACAGTACCTAGTCAACAATTATTTAGGTAGATCTTAGCACAACCTATGCTGCTATACTTGCAAGGCAAGTGCATTCGATCCTAAAGGGATTGCTAATTGGTATTAGTAATATAAATGTGTCAGTAATGCAAGTAACAAAATATCTGAAGCTGCAAACAATGTCCAAAGGTAATCCGATGATGTCCGAGGGTACTTATCCGATGTCCGAAGCCAAAGTGCGATGTCTGAGATTTTGGACTTTCAGACTTCACAAAATTAGGTCGGAAACTATGTAACAAGTGTCGGATTGCGAGCGGTATGCACGAGTATAATGAGTGACGGAGTATGATGATGAATGAATGGTAATATTTCGCAATGCAACTAAGAACTATGAGAATATTCTGGGTGATCCACAGAGTCGGGAAACGGCTCCTAACTACTGGATCATAATTGCTACGGGTCACTACAGAGTATTTAAGTAAGTACATAGAAATCCAGAATACTACAGGCGAAGATAGTAGCAATATATTTTGGGTTCAATGTCCCATGTAATAAGACATGAGGTGGTGCAGGACATGTAATAATGCGGTCTGAATGTCAGAAAATGTGCATGGGAATAACTACACACCTATTGAGGCTAGTTCGGAGGACAGGACATGGCATGAACAAGTGCACGTGAAGTGCAATTGGCCGATGCGATGTCCAAAAGTCCGATGTGCCAGATCTGATGTGGAGTGGCTCAAACATGTGTGAAAGTGCATCAGACATGTGCACATATGTTTCAGGTGTTGATGTGAATATGAAAAACCGTGGTTCCAAGCCCAGTGCCATGACCATTGCTACACTGGTATTGTAACATTAAATATTGAAGTGCAAATATCTCAGTCAAATGTTGACCAATTCACAAAGTGAGACAACCGGTGGCATCCCATGATCTGGTGCTACAGGCCTACCTATGACTGGATCAGGTCAGCTTTTTTTTTTTATCTCAGCCAGTATTCCACTACCTGGTGTAGAGACTCATGCCTCTCATGGTGTGATATTGCACTTTACACCCGCACAGCACATAGCATGAACTTGCAGCATTGCTTCCTAAGTTATCCTCAGCTATTCCCATATGAGGCCCTGCTTTCCCATGCATTGTGTGATGCGCATGCACCTTTCCCACACCACGTTGTAAAGAGTAGATCTGAACTGGGCTCTACTGAATGTGAGTCCCTAGTCCTGAGAGGTGCGAGTAGGCTTTGTCTCAAGAGACAACCTAAGAACTACCTTGATAATGCAAGGGAAGTCTTATACAGTTAGAGAGTAGACAAGATATTGGAAGAAAACCTCTTTAATGCTTGTCCGTAGTTCCGAGACTACTTCTGAAGTACCGAGAAACTTGTCTGATGCGACCAAAGGTCGTCCAGGGCTGCGAAAGTGTTGTCCGAAGTAGCACGATGCCTTCCGAGGCTTGCGAAGGCTGTCCAAAGGTCTATATATGTCAGTGTGTCGATGTGTCAGTATGTCGGTGCATCAAATAACAGTATAAGACTTTGCGCAACATCCGAAGGTTGGAACAACGCTAATCTATCGGGACTCGAGAATAAACGAAGTGCGAAATTGGCAGCGGTCTTAGCCAGACAATCGTTCCGAATGAACAAGGATCAATTGCGCAGTTTACGATTATACCGAGGTGACTCTACTAATTACTACTCGAAGTACGGGAAGTGAAGTGTCCTATCAGTAGCCAGCGAGCGAGATTATATCCTACTTCCGTGAGAGGCCGGAATCCGTAGGCGAAACTAGTAGCGAGATAAGCAAGTCTGAACCTATGTAATAAGCCACAAGGCAGTGCAAGAATGCAAGTATACATGTAATAAGCCGCAAATGCGTACTGCTTATACGTATTCCGAGACTCCCGACAGGATGCTGATGGGATTGTTATCTGTGTAGCACTAAGATGTAGTCAACATATAGTTAGAATAAAGGAAAATGTACCAGCGAAGTCAAAAGGACGAGGATAGGACATGGTATGGTAACTTGCGAGGTTCGGACGGGTCTCGGAACATGAGAACTGCCTGTGGAAGGTTCGGACAAGTGCGTGCGGCCTTCAGAAGGTCAAGGGAGGTCGGGGAATGGTATGAACATAGGTATTGGATTTCCTGGTTTCGAGCCCAGCACCGCGACCATCGTTACAACAGTGTTGCACATGCTTTCCTGTGCTCAAGCGCCCTATGGCGCCAGCCACCCAGACACATCCATCCACTGTCCACCAAGTTCCCTAGTGCATATATTTTTATTCTAAACTTATTTACACATTGTACCACCTTTATTTTGTCATGGACCCTTACTTACATATAGTGTTACATACTCAGCTTGGTAGCATTTCAGCTCGGCTTCACTGACAGCGCTTAGGTGCTATACTTAAGCACCAGCAGTAGATATCTTTAGGAAGTTTTCACTTTCCCAAGTTTTGGTTTCCCTGGAGTTGCAGTAGGAATTCATTTTCTGAGCATCAGAATAGCAACTCCCAATAAGCCTACATTATGGTAGCTATTGGCACTCTATCTCTCGCATCACATTCTCTATCGCTTTGCTCTACGCTTACTTCCATTGCCTTGTACCTCTATCATTGCTTAAACCACAGGTGCATCAAGCACACTTCGCTTTCCCATGCATGTGCACCGCCTTCCCATGCTTGCCTCCAATGTGTTCCCATGTGCATGCGCACTTTCCCATGCTTTGCATTGGCCAACTAGTAGCACCTTCCGCGTGCATTTCAAGACCCTTACTGCACTTACTTCCCCTTTAGGATCAAATGCACTTGTCTCGCCAATTATAGCAGAATAGGCAGCGCACAACCTACAACAATTATATATCAGTAAGGAGCATTGTTTGCGCCTCGCTGAGTAGTACTTTCTACACCAGTATTATAACATCAAATATTAATGTGCAAATATCTCACTCAAATATTGACTGATTTACAAAGTGAAAGTGGGACAACTGGTGGCATCCCATGATCCAGTTCTACAAGCCTACCCATGACTGGATCCAGTTGGCTGGTATATTCCAGCTGCTATTTTACTACTCGGTATTCTAACATCAAATATTAATGTGCAAATATCTCACTCACATATTGACTGATTTACAAAGTGAAGTGAGACAACCTGGTGGCATCCCATGATCTGGTGCTACAAGCCTACCTATGACTGGATTAGGTTGGTTGGTATATTCCGGCCAGTATTTTACTATCTGGTATTCTAACATCAAATATTAATGTGTAAATATCTCACTCAAATATTGACCGATTTACAAACTAAAAGTGAGACAACTGGTGGCATCTCATGATCCGGTGCTACAAGCCTACCTATGACTGGATCAGGTTGGCTGGTACATTCTGGCTGGTATTTTACTACCTAGTATTCTAACATTGAATATTAATGTGTAAATATCTCACTCAAATATTGACTGATTTACAAAGCGAGACAACTGGTGGCATCCTATGATCTGGTGTACAGATTCGCACTATTGCAGGTCTGCAACACGTTATACTTCAGTGCATACCACCCGGGTTCACAGCACCAACTCGCAGCATCATTCCCTAGCCTTTTCCCAGCTATTTCCATATCAGGCAACACTTTCCCGTGTGCATGATGTTCTCGTGCTCGCGCATCGCTCGCTTTCCTGCGCTTTCATTGCCCTATCATCCAGGAGCATCCACCCACTGTCCAGCAAGTCTCCCTGGTATGTATTTTCGCTTTTATTCAATATGGCAACATATTAGAGCATGGACCCTGACTTACATACCTTATTACATACATTATCTCACACTTGGCTCACTTAGCGAGACACATATATAGGTCGGCATTTTTCACCCTTACCACATTACACCACTCCTTACCTTAGTGGAGTTCCCTCATGATGTCCATAGCCAGATTCAGAATTTATTAGCAGTCTTTTGTTTTCATTGAGCCCTTGTTTATTGCTCATTGCATTTCACATTTTCACTATTTCACATTTCACATTCCCGTGCCTTGCGTGCACATCGCTCGCTTCACACAGCCGCTGCGCGACTGTGGATTTGTCTTCTTTGCTTCCCCTTGGATCGAACGCACTTGTCCCTGCACTGATCACTATATCAGCTTCTTGTGTCCCTCCCCTTGCATTTACCATTTGACCTAGAGCTGAGTTGATTCACCTTCACTGGTGCTACAAGCCTACCTATGACCAGATCTGGTTGGCACCTCTTTTTCCGGCTGACTATATTTTGGCCCATCTGTCTCTATTGTACCTAATAATACCTCGGCCCACTCATCTCCATTGTATACTCCATTCACTATATTTGGCCCATCACTTTCCATCCAGTATATACTACCCTTGGCCCATCCCTTTCCATCAGGTACACTACACTTGGCCCATCTCTTTCAATTGGGTACACACTACCATCAGCCCATCTCTTTCAATTGGCTATACACTACACTTGGCCCACCCATATATATTGGTACAATTTCAGCCATGGGTCCATGTGGGATGATCTGTCTGCCTTGGTATATTGTCACCCTTGGCTGCCCATCTGAGACAGGATCCAGTTACTGTATTATGTGACACTTTATAAGGTTGGTGAAATATTTTCAAGGGCATACAAGGGTGTTTATACAGGCATACATCATAAGTAACAATATAAAAGCTCGCCATAATCATCTGCCTCATCCTCATCATCCTCCCTATTCTTGGCCTCCAGAATAGCATCATCTACCTCACTTATGGCACCTCCATCATGCCCCCCATCTTCATCTTTGTCCTCATCACTTTCTTCAATCTCCTTAATGCCATCATACTCATATTTTTTCATCTCATCCTCATCTGCCTCCTTATTCAAATCAAGCCTAGCTGCTCCACACCTTCAATCTTGGTATTCTCCATCTCAGCATCACTATGCAACTCTCCCTCATCCAAATCAAACTCTGCATCTTCAATCTTCATATCATTCATCTCATTATTGAACTTTTCTTTAGCATTGGTCTTCCCTCCCTCATCCAACTTGTCACAGTCTAATAATAACCAATCTGGTGGCTTGCTGGGTGGATTTGTGTCTGACTCCACCTGTCACGAGTACCTTTAACGAACCATTATTCTTTCTTGAATCTTCCTAAGTGTCAATACACAGCACCTAAGATAAACCCTAACCCTACTTTGAAAATGTCTGTTATTCCCGAAATACCTTTAGCGCCCACGACACGTGTCTTTGATGTGACTGATGAAGAAGACAAGTTCTTTGATTGTGAATAGATTAGATTAGATACGATAAGATAAGATATGGTCACGTGATGCTTCTTTAATATTCTATGATGTTCTATGATACGATTCCCTTTCTCTTTTTATGATTGGCTAGTAGTTGTAACTCAGTTTCAATCTCCGTTTCAATAGTTGTATATAGGTAGCATGTCTTGGTCGATAGTTCTTTAGTTCAAACCTCTTGTATCTACACTGTAGCAATCCAAGACGTTCTTGCTCATCATCCTCTCTGTTGTGATAACCTTTGTTTGAGTCCTAGTCTCTGCCCAACATTAATTCGTTATTGGGTTGTGACATTAGGTTTGAACTATAGGAGACTCCGACTCTCGCATACCGCTCGCATCCACCACTACACGTTTTCCTTTGCCCGACCTAAACAGTCGCGATCATTTTTCTGAAACCCATCCTTTTGCTCGCTTGAGCTTTTCACGAATAGCCTTTATTAGTTAGTAGTCCTATACCAGGCCCTGCCTTACATTGCAGCCACCAGTATACAGGAGGTGTTGACGACATTAGGCGTCTCGCTACAACTTTGAGTGCTGGCCCAAGACCCTGCCTGCTCAATGTTACTATAGTTTCTTTCATACCTACATCTTTCTTCATACGCATGTAGAACCTTTCATTAAGTCTAGTGGAACTGTCGCATCTGCGGATAGTCCTACCATCAGTTACCACGAGGATTTAGATATGGGATTCTAGTGAGACTCGCACTTGTAAGCTTCGGCTGGAAGAGTGATAACTTGTCCTAGACCTGTACCCTTTCGGTGACTGAGAAGTAGCACACACGAAGCACACAGTGTTTTTCCCACTTAACAAAGCATAGTTTTACGTATCTCTTTCTAGTTAGTAATTAGGGAAGTGTCAGTCAGGGTTGACAAAAGAACCCTTTGACCCTAAAGGACGAGGTTGATCCAGTTAGTACTGGGGACCCCTTTAGCTTTCCATTTTACGTATCCTTTTTCCCTCTCCCTTTTCATCATCTTTCCTATCCGGAAGAGCCGTTATGACCCGCTCTTCAACAGTCATTAGTGAATCGGATTCCAGAAAGCACCTGGCACTATGGCTGAAGTTGCAGAAGCTACCATGGGACCCGCTGAAAACCCCCAAGAACCACAAGAACAAGGGGAACTGGGACCACAAGGTATCGCTATGCCGATAGAATTCACCAACTATGTACAGAATGCCATCACCATGGCAACACATGATCTGTACATAAGGACACAAGAACTCCTAAACCATAACAACACACTTCGAGCACAGAATGCAACACAAGAGCTTCAACTCAGAACCCAAAACGCACAGATAGAGGAACTGAAGAAGAAGCTTGAGAGATTTGCACAAGCACTGAATACTTCGCAAGTCAAATTGTCAAAGCCCACAGAATTTACCAGAGACAAAGATTCGATCTCCGTTGAAGTCTACGCTACTCAATTGTCATTATATATGTCACAGTGGCCGTTGATCACAGACAGGCAGAAGATTACAACTGCCCTGTCTTTCCTTAAAGGATCTGCTGCTAAATGGGCGCAGAAATATGTTATTGAGCTTGACACCAAGCCAACATCCTTTGAGGATTGGTCAAAAGAATTCGAGACCATGTGGGGACAAGACGACAGAGAAGGAAAGGCTGTCAGGGAGTTGGAAACCCTGAAGCAAGGATCTTCATCAGTGCCTCGAATATGCAGCAGCTTTCAAACAGAAGGCTGCACTCACCAAATACTCCGACTACGACCTCCGCCTCAAATTCCGATCTGGTCTACAAACCCGGATCAAGGAGCAACTCGCTCATATCCCAGCGTCTGAGAAAGACACCCTCAAGAAGCTCATCAATTACTCCATACAGATTGGACGTAACTACGAAGAACTAGACACTGAGAAGAAGAAGGGAAATTGGTGGACCCCTAACAAGGAAGCCAAAACCTTCAATAACCCAAGGCAGGCTGGTCCTAGCAAAGACAGTGACACTATGGATGTGGACTCTGGCAAGCAGAGGGGATCTCCCAAACCCCAAGGAAAGCCTGGTGCTTTCACCTGCTACCGCTGTGGAGAACAAGGCCACATAGCGAGAAACTGTAAAGGTGCGCCAAAAGCGCAAGTCAAAGCGGCTGCAGTTGTCGAAGAAAACTCCGCGCCGAAGTGGTTCACAGATTGGATCGCTTCTAACAAAGGCAAGGATTTTTAAAGGGGTTGAAGTCAAAGTCTGCAGACCTAGACCCGAACAATCGTTTCTCTATTCTTTCTACGTTTCAAGATGTATCAGAAGTACATATTAGATCCAAATCTGAGCATTTTTATATTCCGATAACGTTGAAAGGAAAGAACCGACAAGCAGACGTAAAAGCACTTGTGGATTGCGGTGCATCAACATTATTTATCAGTGAGAAGTTTGTTGAAAAGAACAGTGTGAAATGCCGTAAACTATTAAGACCTATTTCAGTCAAGAACATTGATGGATCACTAAATGCCGCTGGATCAATGACTCATTTTGCAGAACTAGGTCTAAAGATTGGTAATCATGAAGAAGAGAAAGCAGCCTTCATGGTTACAGACTTAGGAAGTGATGATGTTATTATCGGCATAGATTGGCTGAGATATCATAATCCAGAGATAGACTGGAACGCAGGACGATTTGCACTTTCTCGATGTCCTGTAAAATGTGAAACAAAAAAGGAAAAAAGACAAAAAAAGATAGATGACGTACCTGGTCTGATTCCTACGGACGATGAAGACGAGGATGAAGAAGATATGTCGATGAAGAGGGCGACGGTTGAGGAAATAGAAGACAAAGAAAGTCCAGAGAGACTATGGATTCGTTATAAAGCCTCGGTTGCCACGGAGCAGAAGGTAGCAGAAGAAGCTACTAAGAAGAAGCAGTCAGTAGAAGAAATGGTACCTGATTGGCTTCATGATTACCTGGGAGTTTTCTCAGAAGAAGAATCTAAGCGCTTCCCTGAAAGAAAGAAGTGGGATCATGCGATAGATCTTAAAGATGAGGGCGATCTTCCACCAAATGCGAAACCCTATCCGTTGTCACCCAAAGAGATGGATACACTAAAGGAATGGTTGAAAACCAAAACTACACTAGGACATATCAGAAATTCACAATCTCCAGTAGCAGCACCTTTCTTCTTTGTGGCCAAAAAAGATGGCAAGTTAAGACCGGTGATGGACTATAGAAAGCTCAATGAGAAGACGGTTAAAAATGCATATCCGCTACCGAGATCTCAAGATTTAATTGATGCTTTAACCGGTGCCACAATGTACTCTAAGATGGATGTACGATGGGGGTACAACAATATTCACATGAAAGAAGGAGATGAGTGGAAGGTGGCCTTCAAAACACTGTTTGGTCACCACGAACCAACCGTGATGTATTTTGGACTCACAAACTCGCCTGCAACCTTCCAAACTATGATGAATGAAATTCTGAGAGACCTAATAGATGGCAAAACAGTAGTCGTCTACATTGATGATATAATGGTCTTTACGAATGGAAATAGGGAGCAACACCGAAAGGTGGTATGAGAAGTCCTAAAACGGTTAAAGGAGAATGACCTGTTCTTGAAGCCCGAGAAATGTAGCTTCGAACAGTCTAAAGTCGAATTCCTTGGGTTGATCGTGGAAGAAGGCAACATGTCGATGGACCCTGTGAAAGTAGAAGGAGTATTGAAATGGCCTGTTCCCAAATGCGTAAAAGATATCCAAGCATTCATGGGCTTTGCCAACTTCTATCGAAGATTCATACTTGGGTTCTCGGATATAGCCAGACCAATGAACGATCTGCTAAGAAAAGATGTCAAATGGGACTGGACGGAAAAGCAACAAAAAGCTTTTGATGAACTTAAGAAATGTTTCACAGAAGCTCCCGTTCTAGTCATGCCAGATGTTGAGAAGAAAAAGAAAATAGAGACCGATGCTTCAGATTACGCAACAGGAGCGGTTCTCTCTCAACTTATGGAAGATGGATTATGGCATCCAGTAGCATATTACTCTAAGTCAATGAATGATGCGGAATGTTACGACTGGGATAGTTCTGCTGTTTGCCGGTCAAGATAGACCTGTCAGGCGAACAGTTTGTCGGCCTTCCTAATACAAGGAAGGTTTCTGGTGGTTCCTACTGCACGAGCCGCGGCTTCTATGCAGGATCAGCGGCGAGTGGTTTTAGCACTTCTGCCTAGGCGGTGAGTGGTTTTAGCACTTCTACCGCAATCAAGGGTTTCAGGCTAAGACAGTGAGTGACTGTCTTAGAATCAGAGTTCAGGCTACTAAGGGTGGAGACCTTAGTAGATCAGGTTTCAAGGGGAAAACCCAGTAGATTAAGTTAAGGAATACAACTATGGTACATGGAGTTTATATAGGTGAAAGGAAGCGGCGTAGCCGCAACAAGAAAAGTAACAGAGATAGGAAAAAGAGTACAACCTATCAAGATAGCAAAGATAGGTGAAACCGCCATGCGGCGCAAGATAGTATCTATGTTACAATCAAGAAAGAAGAGAAGTGCGGACAGCCCGCTTGATAAGAGAATAGCCGAGTCTAGATGAGTCTAGAGTCGGCGGCATGGTTACAAGAAAAGAAAAATGAAATAGGAGTAAATGTTATTGTAACACGGAAAGAAATTACGACATTCACGACAAAGAGTTATTAGCGATCATTAGAGCGTTGGAAGAATGGAGGCACTATGTGCAGGGAGCACCTCA